GAACGAACTCCTCCTATGTTCTTCTGATTAATTTCGTTGCGGGTCCAATGACAGTTTCTCCCGGGACAAAGTTGACCTTGATTGGTTGGGTTTTTATTGGCGGTCAAGCTGTAGATCCTGGCTACACAGAAGTTGCAGTGGTGGGAAAGAGAGGTGAGAATAGTCCCGATATAGCTAAAATTTTAATGTAAGTAAGCAGGTACCTACCTGTGTGTAACTTTTTATTAATAATAAAAATAAAAATAAATAATAAAAAGTTACACCAGGGATGAACACTGGATCATAATGACATTTCCACACAAAACCAGAATTCAACTAGGGTGTAACTTTTATTATTAAGGGCGATAGAGTAGAGATACGTGAAATACCTTTATGATTTCATAACAACCACGGAAACGGATGCCTAAATCTATTACACAAATTACCATAATAAAAGGCATTACCAAATGGGAGTACAAAAGATGCATTAATTGAATTAAACTATGATCACTGTGGGTGAGCACGAACAAAGCTGCGGGTAACAATTAAAATAAGTGAAAGTTAATTTTATTTGTTTTAGATAATGCTTTAAAATAAATTGGCTGAATTTTAATTGAGTACAGTCGGAAGAAAAAGTTCTTCCATCAAAAAAAAAAAAAAGTCAAAATTTCTTTATTTGTTTGGACTAATAAATAGTTCTTACAAATCGTCATTTTGCTCTTAAGGAGCCTCTACATGTCTCATAATCTTTTTACCCTACCAGCGCTTCGAGACCAACATTTGGCAAGTGCTGAGAAGAAGCGCCGCAACAAACATCCTCGTTCCTACCTAAAGTACGGCCAACTAGCAGCGATACAAAAGGTCGATACGACTGTCGAGTTGACAATATATTCTGTCTCTTCCCATCTTGTGTATTTGTCGTAAAGTTTCGTTCTCCCACCAAAATATGTCAAAGTCAGACGGGTTCACCCATGACATTGGGTTTGTTTACATTTGGTATCGCTTCTCGTTGGCCGTAGTTTAGTTCAGTGCCTCTAGGACGAAAAACTTTTGACTTTGAATCGTTTGCGTATTCGAATCGCCATCAAAAAATTTACTATGAAAACTAAAACAGAGCCCCTCTGAAAGTGACGTAAAGTGAACTCAGTACGAGAAATGGTAGCATGTAACTAATTTTGACAGTCAAAATTGTTACGTTATCGTTGAATTCAAAGGCTGAATATCAATTTTTATCGAATACGCAAACGATTCAAATTCAAATTCAAATTTCGAAGACAGTTCGAATTTATTGTGACTCTCACGAAAAAGGTTTTCTCATGAAAAATGTTGCCAAAAAATGAGATCATTTGGCTAGAAATGTTAAAAAGTTATTCTCAGGTCTCTACTCGCTCTAACTCTTGAAGGCCTAACCTCACAAACTCTATACATCATCATCATCATCTCAGCCATAGGACGTAGGTACGTCCACTGCTGAACATAGGCCTCCCCCAATGCTTTCCAAGTTGCCCGGTTAGTAGCGGTCTGCATCCAGTCTTTCCTACGGCCGATGGGGCAGCAAGGTTCTGGAGTACCGGTAAATTCTATGTTAATCAAAATATGTGGCTTGAGCGTTTCATTACTACGAGTACAAGAACTATTTTGTAAGGAACATGGAACAAGTTTTTACCATACGCCCATGTGACGGTAGTGTAATGGACCAACGGACCAATGCTATGTGAGATTCTTCATACTCAGATTTTCTATGTAATCATAATGCCAGAGGCATTGGTGGATTTGTGTGTGGGAATAATATTCCAAAGGCAATAAAAACCCATAGATTTTTCTATGTGAAAACGATATTTTAATCGCACAATAGATCTAAATTACTAACATCCATTACCATTTACGTTAATAGATTTATTTTGATGCAATCTCGGACTCAGAATAAGATGCAATTTTAGTGTCTATAATCATTTACATAGAGATTTATCTTTACACAACTTTTTCTGCTAACTGTACGCACGTCATCAGCAGAGTAAACGAGCCTTTTTTAGTCTCTAAGCTGATAGATTTAAAGAACAGTTTTAAACTCTTGTTCTGAAGTCAGTACGTGTATAGCCGTTCTCACGGTAGGCCATATAGGCTGGACTGTCGCAATGAGGTCTAGATTGTCGTAGATAAGGAAATAATGGGTTAGAGTATGGACGCATGTCGTATGAGTCTCTTTTGAGAAAATTACAGCAGTTTCTATCATTGAACTCCTTTGAATTTGACAAATAAGATTGAAACAACCAGTTGATCTAGTCATGCATGAAAAGCACTTGGAGTGGACAGTGCAAGACCGATCATTATGGAGATCTTGGGGGACGCCTTTTTTCAGCCCAGCCGTGGACGTTCTTTAGCTGAAATAATGATTATGATTCAGAATAGAGATATCTAACATCTTTCTTTCGAATCATCATTATCATCATCATTTCAGCCATAGGACGTCCACTGCTGAACATAAGCCTCTCCCAATGATAAGGTCCCGGCCCGGATAATACACTGTTAATTAGCCGTTAAATCTACATAAAGGCCTTTGTTCAGTTTGATTTTATTGATGTTGTGTGTAAAACCTTTAGTTATTACTAGCGGCCGTCCGCGATTTCGTACGCATGGAGTCCGTTTTACTCCCTTAGGAGTTGAATTTTGCAAAATCCCGTCTTAGTGAGCACCTACGTTCTAAAAAGAACCCCCATGCAAAATGTGAGACTACTATTCTAGGTAGTATATTCTAGTTTTTGAGATTTCGTGATGAGTGAATGAGTCAGTCAGTGACCTATCGCTTTTATAGATATACTCGTAGATAAATCACTACCTCTTCTTCATTCCAGGTCCTCTCCATCACGCTCCTAGCTGCCTTCGCCAGCTGCGAGCCGCCAGCGCCCGGCTACAACTACCAGGCCCCTAAGAATAACTACAACAACTACGCTGCTAGCAATAGCTACTTACCTCCTAGCACAGGTGAATATTTAAGTTTATTTAGAAAGAAATAAAAAAAAGGAAAGAAAGAAACAAACAAAGAAAGAAACATTTATTACGATGAAAATCACTTAGTTAAGGACAGAACGTATACAGAAAAAAGACATGTATTGGGTGTGGAGCTCTCAAAAATTTATGTGTTGTGGTGGGGTCCACTAGTTTTTCAGTATCTTCGCGTTCCTACATAGAATTATTGTGAAGAAACAGGGGGAGGGATTTTATTAACATTAATAGACTTTCGATTTGGAACTATTCTGAGAGAAAGTACCTACATTGACTTCATCAGCTCCCCTAGACAAAGTACCGTTGGCGTTATTTTACGTAAGTTAAATTTGAAATAATTTAAAATCGCTTAAAACACATACAAGTTTTCTATGTGTAAAGTGATTTTCGAAATTAAAACTGTCCCGCTCGTTTAATCGAATTTGAATTAAATATGTAGATGTTTAGTTTCTTTCAAAATGACTTGTTTGCTATTATTGTTTACTTTTACTCTTAGGGCGTTGTTGTGACTTGTGAAACTTCGGGTGGTTGGTCGTAGATTTGACATTTTGACAATCAGAATGCGGGGTCTAGCATGAGTCTGGGTCAAGTCAAATATTACAAGGTGTAACACTCACCCTAAAACATTGTTTTAAACCATATTCCAGGCTACACAGCACCCAGCAACAACTACCTGCCTCCCTCGAACTTCGGCTCCTACTCTTCAGGGTCGAACTACGCTGGAACTGGCTACTCCGGCTCTGGCGGGTACTCTGGAGGTCATGATCATGGTCATGACGATGGTCATGGTCATGGCCATGGCCATGGGGATGAGCATGAAGTGGTGAGTCTTATATTTATGGTTTCCTTATTAAGTTTATTATTCATAACATGGTGATTTCTGGTGATTTGTGTGTTTTTTTTAATAAATAAGCCCTGCCAATTCCTTTACAAGAATAGATCGACCAACTTTCTACATAATTCTGCATTTAAAATAACCAAGAAATATTAAACTCTACATAACCACTTGAGTATACTAATCTGAGAATCCAGTATCACATTAATTTGATGGAACTAAAGTTCTTGAATTTATTTGTCCATAATAAAAAAAAACTAACGAACTTAAATAATTATGTAATTTAAGTAACAATAACAAATCATTTCTAAATACTACTATTTTTTAAATCAAAATCTTTTTCATGCTCGCAAATTAAATGATTCGAAAATCATACCAACCGGATTGAGAACCTCCTTCTTTTTGAAGTCGGTTAAAAAGTAAGGAAAATCCTCGCGCATGCGTCAGTGAGACAGCAACAGGGTCTCATGACTTCTCATTATACTTCATTAGAACGAAATTGGTCTCAATTGTAATTAGGGTTGTCGACGTTCCCGGACACGCTATGTCCGGTCCGGACGCTGAGATTATGAGATTATAATCTTCATAAATGTCTCCGTGTGGTCTGTGGTTAGAGCTAAATTATGAACCTAGATATTTGCGATAGCTTAATGAGCAACAGGATTGTAAGAAGCTGATGTTTATATGGAATTAAATACTTGAAAACAATATAATAATGGAAAAACGTTTATTAAAATCATTCCTCTAGTATTCTGGCCAGTCTAATTCACATAAAAAATATCGCTCTTTAGTATACACCTCGGTAATCGAAGGCATTATCAGAATCTGTAGAGTCTAACAGCTAGATAAAATGCGTAAATTTATTAAAAATAGTTCCACATCTTTTTTTGAAAATTATAAATAACTTGAAAAAATGGAACTGTCTAAGGCGGGAATTGAACCCACGAACCCAGTGCCACATCTTCTTTTTTACTGGATCGACAACGTCTTTGGAGTAAACCTGGTAACTTTTCCAATAGCCAAATCCCTATCTTTGGGAATTTAGATGAAACTAATTGTATTTTGGAAAGAAGTTATAAAAGGATTTCTATTAATTGGAAAAATCTAATCGAAACAACGATGAAAACAATTATATTGAAGAGAAATTATTTGAGTATACAGGGTAACAGATTGAAATAAACTATTTATTTTTAGAGTTAAGTTTGCGTTAGTTTTAAAAATTTCTGTTTATTATTTAAAACCATTTGGAGAAATAATTCCAGGTTTAGTTGATCCGGACGCTTGACAACCCTGATACAATAATCACACTACACATTCCACAAGGGCAACACCGCTTAGCTTTTGTTTTGAATTTAAATAGCACTAAAATCACAGTTACCTACGTTGTTTTTCGATGTAACTTGTACACTTGATAAGAGTGTACTGGCCTTAACCTATAGATACTATCGTCAACTGCGTAAAATATGTCTCCATAATCACCAAAAACAATGCTTCGAGGCACAAAATCCAATTCAGCTACCTTTCTAGCTGTTCCATTCACACAATTAATTTCATGTAGCCCCTCATCGTTCAAGCCAAAAGTCTTCCCCTCATCTATAATGAAATTATAAACCAATGATAAAACAGTGTTCTTAACAACTTCTTGTCCCTTTACCGCACAAAACAGTCCACACATGGTCACAAAATGAACATTTCTTTGATAATCTACATCGAACTCCATCACTGTTGTCACACCTCCAATCTTAACTGCGGTCGTCCCTTGATTGAAGACTTTGTAAATCATATGGTCATTCCCATCTAGGAGATACATTTCGTTGTTTTTCACTACAAGTTTCATTATATTTAAGTTATATAGCCCAATGCTGTTAGCTTCTTTATTAATTGCATCATACTTGTAAAGGCCATCTTCAGATCCGAAGTACACATCACCAGAATCTAGGTCGACTGCTGTCGCTTTATTCTTAGTGATGCCTTTGATTTTTCCTGTCTGTTTTGTTACTACATTCACATAAGCTCTTCCAGAGTCTTGTATGACATCATCCATGTACATGAAGAAGAGATTTCTGCTGGACGAATCGTACGCCAATTCTTTGGGGCTCGAATATTTATCGGTTAGCAGTTCTTTCTTATAAATCCTGGCGCCTATCCGTTGTATCGGAGAGTCGGATATGTATATCCGTAACTCTGCTTTGACACTGATCAACAGAAACACAATGTATTTTATGTAATTCGTCATATTTCCGAAGAAGCGTCCGTTTCGCACTGTTGCACTCTTTAAACTGTTGGCTTTGTTATTATTGTCAATGTTTTGATCGTTTATCTCTACAATTTTGTTTTTTTTCAGGCACATTTGGTGTTATTGTTGCACTTTGCACCGTATTATCTGGGATTAGAGGTTAAACTCTGCTCGTAATAGGATGCAACTCGCGTTGATTCACTAAAACGCTGGGAATGAGACTGACTAACGAGAAATTGTAATAAATAGCTTCAAAGGTCGTTTAGTGCGCGTCGTTATACGAAACAGGGGTTTCCATAAACTGCTATTTGTTGATAAGCTCCGTTTAATCTACACAAATGTTTTGTATTGATGTAACCTTATAACCCTTTTTAATTAAAAAGGTACTTTACCAAATCTACAAGGTTATTTTTTGTATATACGAAAGCCGAAACACGTGTCACGTATTTTAATCTTTAGAATCAGTATTAAAAAATGATACCTTAAAAACTAACGAAGTTCCAAGCTTTATTTGTTGTCCCATTATCTGCACGCGAGTGTAGACATCGTACAGCGCGCGGCACTTTCGTTGTTGACAACGCAATTTCCATACGCGCAGAGCATTTTAGTAAGGTGTCCGTAAATTATGGATTTGTAAATATTATTAAGTCAAAATGTAACATGATATAAAATATTGCGATGGATTCTATTACTGATTCTGAACAAATAGTTTTAAGGTTTCGTATATACTAAAAATAACCTTGTATAACTTACTTTGAAGATAAACGTATAAAATATAAACAACTGGAAGCATTCGATATTAGAGCAGCTATTACGAATCAGAATAAAAATAAAGAGGGATAAAAAGACAGTTTTAAAATTTAAACACTATAATAATCAGGTCAAACCACCAAACCTCAGCTCGCGCCTTTCTAATAAGTTTCATGCAGTTTACAAAAAAACGCAAATAATTGACTAGCAACCATTAACAAGACCACATCAACAAGATTTCTCTTTATTAGGTTTCAGTCTGACAATGCTTCTATAATCGGCGTAAACTATGTTATTGTCAACATCGAAAGCGATTCCAAAACATTCGTGCACATCAACAGCTTTCTTCAAACTGTGTTCTGTCTTATCTACAGCAAAAATGCCGTCACGTAAACAAACATAGACATTTCCATTCACATCTGTTGCTACGCCTCTAGGCCCAACGTGAGGAAATTCTTCATATAACACAGCATCTTTGGTTCCTTTCTTCTGAGCATACAATCCTGTAGCATTAGTGTAGAACATATCATCATCTTTATCTATAATGAAGTGGTCCACTTTAGTGTCTTCTAAATCTCTAAATCTTACAGCAGTTCCGTTGATGAAAGTGTACAAAAACTGCGATGGGAACTCCGAGAAGTATAGAGCGTCTTTGAAGTATATTGCCCAAATATCAGCTCCTCTCTGTCCAAAATACTCAGCAGTGTCTGTGTTGGGATAGTACTGGTATATGCCATTGTTAGAGCCAATGTAAACAATGTGATTCGCTGCATCTATGGTCTGGGCAAAACCGTTGACAATGTCTATATCGTTGAATTCTTTGGTTTCAAGGTTGATTCTTGCGGATTTGAAAACATCGTCGTTTTCTTTTACACTGTAACTGAAGTACAGAGTACCGGTTTTGTTGTCTATAGCCAGCATGTAGGGTCTATCCAGGTCTTCCTTGATGACGTCTTTTTCATGGTAAACACCGTTGACCAGAACACCATCGCATGGTTTTTCTGTGGTTTCTTCTTTGATGACTCCTGCTTTTGCGATGGTTAGTATGGCTAGAACTAGTGCCAGTTTCATGCTGATCTGGAAAATAAAAGGTATGATTATAGTATGGCAGGTTACAAGTTTTTTTGCGGTATAAAGCTACTAAGTAAATTAAATCATTATGAGTAGTGTTTAGAATAAGGCTGAGTTTCACCATCTTACCTTAACTATAACAAACGTCATAACTCAAACTTCATACAAAATACACCGGTTATCGCTATAGTTACGGTTAAAGTTAGGTGGATCACTCAGCCTAAGACTTGTGTAAAAAATGTCATCTATAGTTAACCTCTCTTATCAAAATTACATTTAAATCGCGAAATGTTAACGTTAAATTAATTACCTACTCTGAATAACGGGATTTTTTATATACGTTCAGTTAAAACATTCTGACAGCAGAGTAGGTACCTAATTGTAGACACTTCACCAGTTAAATTGCACTATAAATATTTTATTTTTAAATAGGGGTAGGTAACTTAGCAGAGTTTTTACTTGTTTTCTAGAATTAAATTAGTGTAATTGAATAAATAATTCGCTCACCGAGTCTACTGATAGCCCACAGATAACTGGCGAAACGAACAAACCTTAGGCGAGATGTTTATAATATTTTTCAGACTAAAAAACTGTAGAGTCGCAAAACAATAAATTTTCTTTATAATCCCGAAAACATGTTTAATTGAATCTCCTTTGTAAGTATGTCTTAAGAAAACGTACTTACATGTACTATAATCATATCATATTCTGGAAATGGGTGATTCTTCTATTACAATTTGTCTCGGAAACATGGCCTCTCAATATAGGCCTTATACTTAAAGAAGCTTAAAATTGCACAGCACAGCATGCTATGGAGAGGCCTATGTTCGGTGTTTCTTTACGAGATCGAATCATAAATGAGGAGATCCGTAAACGATCAAGTCGCTGACATAGCCCGACGGATTAGCACGCTGAAGTGGCAATAGGCAGGGCACATAATACGCAGAACTGACGGTCCATGGGGCAGCAAGGTCTGGAATAGACGTAGGACGTCCACGCACAAGGTGTACCGACGACATCATAAAGGTGGCAGGAAGGCGCTGGATGCAGGCCGCTACCAATCGAGCAACATGCAAATCATTCGGGGAGGCCTATGTTCAGCAGCGGACGTCCTATGGCTGAAATGATGATGATGAATTTGTCCATCTAATCCATTTTAAATTGCCTTGAAGGAGACCTTCAAAGTCGACTCCTGGCAGTCCCTGTTCCACTGATTATGCAATGTCAGGTCGCGGGTTATCTCGTATCACGAGAAGATGTTTTATTAAAACAATAAGTCAATGTTAATTATAGTTACAGATTTGATATTAAGTAAAAAAATATGTGTGGATTTATCCTTGTGTGTTTGATTCCGGGTTCTAAATCTTATAAATTTTATAAAGCAAACTAGTCTTCAACTCTTAATTTCACCAAAAAATACACTACAGATAGTTAAAATATATTTAAATAAGAACCTTTTTGCTAGTTCTTCTCAAATTAAATGGAATTTTCAAACATTTTCGATTCAACGTGTTGTTAACGCCTGAATGAAAGTGAAACGCAAACTCTTGGAAGTGCAATTTCAGTGACACTCAAATCTTTTAGGTCTTTTATATCTAAACTCAAATGATTCTGTACCTAGCATGGCTAATATTAAAAGTAACTAGCGGCCGCCCGCGACTTCGTACGCGTGAACCCCGTTTTACCCCCTTAGGGGTGGAGTTTCGTAAAATCCTTTCTTAGCTGATGCCTACGTCATAACATCTACCTGCATACCAAACAGCCCGATCCGTCCAGTGGTTTGGGCTGTGCGTTGATAGATTACTATGTCAGTCAGTCAGTCAGTCACCTTTGAGTTATAATTTTTAGATTTCTTTTATTTAAATAAGGTTTCTGTTCCAACGGCTATCACGTATCTTCACTGGGTACAAGGTTTCTGCTAATGATATTGCTAGTGTACTCAGATGTATCTAAAGTAATATAATAAGTGTGTATTCTCTTCCAACAGCCAAAGTCGTACGAGTTCGGATACGCAGTGAAGGATGCAGAATCTGGCAACGACTACGACAGGCGAGAGACTTCGGACGGCAACGTGGTGCGGGGAGAATACAGGGTACAGCTGCCCGATGGACGCACGCAGATCGGTAAGAATCTATCCTATTGATAATTTTATTATTGGAAATCATTATCATCGTCTCATTTAAGCCTATGGGTCCACTGCTTTATAGAAAAGTCATGAAGTACGATCTGTCCCTCGCTTCATCATCATTAGCTCTTGGCGTTGTTTTGTGATGTCGTTTATCTACAGATCTTAGTAAAAACTAAAGAAACAATGGTAAAATGTGTTATTTGCAATTATGGTATTTTCTGTTATTATGAAGGAATTATCGTTTTAGCGCTCATATAGAGTAAGATCGTTCGTTTCAGCCAAATGACGTCCACTGCTGGACAAAGGCCTCCCCCAAGGTTTTCCACAATGAACGGTCCTGCGCTGCCCGCATCCAGGCTCTTCCCGCGACCTTTACCAGATCGTCGGTCCACCTAGTAGGAGGCCTGCCCACGCTACGTTTTCCAGCCCGTGGTCGCCACTCGAGAACTTTCCTGCCCCAACGGCCATCGTCTCTACGAGCTATGTGCCCCGCCCACTGCCACTTGATTTTAGCAATTCTGCGAGCTATGTCGGTTACTTTGGTTCTCCTACGGATCTCCTCATTTCTGATTCGATCACGCAGGGAAACTCCGAGCATAGCCCGCTCCATCGCCCTTTGGGTGACCTTGAGCCTTCTTATGAGGCCCATAGTAAGCGACCACGTTTCGGATCCATATGTCAACACTGGCAACACACACTGCTCGAAGACTTTCGTCTTGAGACACTGCGGTATTTCGGACATGAGTATATGGCGAAGCTTCCCGAACGCTGCCCATCCGAGTTGGATTCGACGATTGACCTCTTTCTCGAGAGTAAGATCACTGTCACCTAACTAGTGGCGGAGATAGTAGCTTCAGCTGGTGAGCGCTGAAGCAGTAGTAGCAGTATGGTGACATTGTATAGTATGGGGATATCAATCGCCAGTGGTGCCAACTGTTAGTGTAAAAAAGACAATACCTTCATCATTAGGAACTGGGGTACAGCACACCTCTTCCTCTCAAGCTATTTATTTATTTATTGAAAAAGATACACCAACGACATATAACTTTACATATAACAATAATACAGTGTTAGTTGTGTAAGCTATGGCTATGTCATATAGATGAAGATGCACTTACCTACTTATTTTCTTTCAGTGACTTACCACGCTGACTGGAAGACCGGTTTCCATGCTGACGTGAGGTACGAAGGTGAAGCGAGATACCCTGAGCCTACCCAGAATGTGCACCAGCAAGGTAACGTTCTTTAATTCCATTATCAGGTCATTTAGTTTCCAATGCAGGAGTACAACACACTCTAATTTACCAGAGAAAATTGGAGGATTTGACCTACACTCCCCAAGCTGCCCAAACGGGTTAATGAGGCCTGATGTTCGCGTATTTCTCCCTTTGTCATCTCTAATGATATCCATGGGAAGAGTGGGACGGAGTTCTATCTATGTCTGGCCGTGCAAGCCAAGTGTGTTTTTATTGTTTTCTTAGCAACCTGCAAGAAAATAATAGCAAAATCTCACAACCTCATAAATCATAATACCATTCTTCCAGGCGGTTACAACTACAATGCTCCATCTTCTAACGACTTCCAAGGGTCCCTTACTGGTTTCCATGGCAACAGGAATTCAGGATACAAACCCTCAACTGCCTACGGACCCCCTGGATACCACTGAAGCATTCCATTGATGGTAGTTAAAGATACATACCTACATCAACCTTTAGAAAGAAACGAGCTTTATATAGTATAGATACCCTGATGATTGTAGCCAACGCTGTAATATTTTAAAATAGGTATTGCCTAATGCTTTATTTACTAATTACAATTTGTATTAATATTTTTACTCGCTACTCTATCTTACGAGCGCATTTGTTACCTTCCACCTACTACTACACCTACCTATAGCAAATTATTACGGTTATTATGTATATTTTTTGTATTAACAAAGTAAATACACGGTCTAACATTATTTTATGATCATATAATTTATAAGTTGCAACAATATTAGCTTAATATTTAACATCCATCTCTGTAAATAATTGAATTTCGCTCCTAAACTATTATAAACCTTTTTCAAATTCTAAAATATAGATGGCGTTGTTAATTCTACGATATGTTTAGTACAGAAACTTGATTCTAGATGGCGCTAATGCACTATAAAATAGGGGTGCTTCTAAAGGTTGATGTGCAAATAGTTTTGGTTGATCTCTATTTTTTGAGATCCAATGTTTTGAATTTGAAATATAATTGACAAAAATAAATTCATTAACTGTATTAACCGTCAGAACGAAAATATTTTTACTTTTTATGTACAACATTTTAATTTAGGAAGTTTCGTGATTTCACACGTCTTTTTTTGTATTTAATAACCAATGACTTAGTTTATAAAAAAGAAAAGGTTACCATTGTTGATATTGATCAAAGGAAAGCAGGTCATGACAAAATAGAGATTATTTTTTGTTAAGAAGTTACCGAAATGTAAAAACTTAATGCTAAGTTAACTGTTTAGTTGTAAGTTTTTTACCAGTATTATTATTTTTTACTAAATAAAAGTATCATTTAATGACGATGTTGTTTTTTTATAGCAATGTTAATAATGTAATCTTAATTAACTTTGACTCTGAAAAATCCACCTACTTAATTAAATAATCGAAAGTGTATTTTTAATTAAATCAGTTTTGTATGCACTGGCCAGTTCTTAATTGCTAGAAGTAAATAAGGTGTCAATAAAACACAGTTTACTTGTTATCTTCCACTTGTTTTAAACACAATAATAAACAGCCAGAGAATTACTAACAATAAAAAATAAATTACTACTTTACATCACATTAATTAGAAACGATTAAAACTCTACACATTTCAATGGATTTACATTAAGTTTTATTAATACGTCTACAACTGCGTACACTGGTTCGAGATTTTTGTTGAACGTGAGTGATCTCAAGTCTCTTATATTTGACACTTTGTCCAAAGCAAACTTATACTTATTATACACAAATACACCTTCACTTGTGCCTATAAATGCCCTATAATATGGGTCTACAGAGAGCACATTAACTTTATACCTTTCATGTATATTGATAGCTCTGGTACCTAGGCGAACTCGGAATAGTGTACCATTTTGTAAGAAGAACACGTTGTCATCATCATCAATAATCAGATCATCGACATCCTCATGCTGCAACTCAATCATCGGTTTCAAAATACCGTTATCGAAAACATGGGCCTCCTTTTTGGAATTGACGAAGAACAGTACATCTTTAAAGAACAGCTTCTCTATGCTGTCATATACTGGATACTTCTCAGGCATACCTTCCTTGTTGAGGACGTATAGACCATCCATTCCGCCGACGTAGACCTTATTCCTAACATGGTCTATGGCTACACCAGAAGCATTTCTTATACCACCGATGAGACCAGCCTCTCGCGTATCCAACTTGACATACCCTAGGCTTCTCATAGGAACGTCTGTGAGTTGATCGTAAGTGAAGTAGACAGTATTATCGTTTCGGTTCAGAGCCATTTGGTGGATTTTGTTGATTCCTTCTTTTATCATCTCTATATCGTAGTATTTGCCATTGAAGTTCACTCCTCGACATCTTCTATCGGCAGTTGACAGAGTGAGAATGATGGAGAGCAGAAAAGGGTATAGCAGCTTCATTTTTTCTGGAATTAAAAAAAGAAATATGTTATTGGCACTGGCAATACTGAAGGAAACTAAGGACATAAGGATTAGGGATGTGTGAATAGTTTCTCAAAATAGTTACTATGCTTATATGTATACTTTATTATACAATATTATTATCTAAGAGATACAGTCATGCTACAAATTTAGTAGGTGGAAAGTCCCTAATACCCCATAATAACTACTTTTAATAGATAATCCCAAGGATTTATACATAAAGCACAGCGTTTATTTTTATAAGTTTTCATTCGAGAAGTAAACATATTTTTTGTTGAGCAGGCAGCAGTGTACCTACTCATAGTTCAATCCAAGGTCACCCAGTATAATGATTACTTTGGTAAATATTCCCCTAGTGATTCACAAAAAGCAATGAAATAATGGATAAGTAACAGACTGACAATCAGACAATGATGAATTACTTTTCTTAAAACTAAACAAAAGACTCACCATAGTCTACCACTTTGGCAATGTTTTCACAAACAACTGCGTGTTTATTTTGTGAATCAATAATACACAGCCACAACACATCGTTCACCGGTGAGTCAGTGAAGGGTACTGGTTTATTATACAATAGTTATCTCATAGTGATTAGTATGGAGGTAGTGACGTGACTTTCGAGTTGCGAAACATTTGAGGAATGGCGGTTATTCGGTCATAGTGTTTTTGTCGTCATTTGTTTCTGGACCACAATCCTGGTCTTCAAAGATGTGTCTGATTTGGCCCATATTTGTATTTTGATAAAGTTTAACGCGTTAGTTAGCCGAAGAAGCTTAATTTGCGGTCATGCCCCCCTTCTAACTACAGACGGAGTTAGAGCACACATGAGTGAAAGTGAAGCATTTTCATTGGCTGGGCTTGTTCTATTCTATTTTAAGCAAAAAGGTAGCCCTAAAGTTCGTCATCATCGGAAGGACTCTAGAAGTTCACTGCTGGACACAGTCTTGCCATTTTATTTTACTCTGGGCTGTCTACATTTAGTTCTTTGTATCAAACGAGACGTTTACTTACTCTAATAGACTGTTCACTTGGAACCAGTCAAACTGGAAGTCTATGATTAGGCAATGGACGTTCTAAGACTAAGACTGATAATGATGATGACCATCATTCCAAACACAAACGCGGACACTGTAAATACTTACTTATGGAGATAACTATGTCGCTAAACTCATCTAGGTGCTTAATATGGTTAAAGCAAACAGAACCAAGCATTTCCAACCGTAAAATAATATTTAATACAAAAAAATGAGCGTACGATGGGCTTAAGTGCATGAATAAAACAAACTAGTACATACCTTAAAATCAAATCCAGTTGTGACCGAGATCGATTAAAAAATGAATCAAATTGAACTAAATTTAGAGACAGCTGTTTCGCGTTACCGTCGTCATGGCAGTATTGATGAAACTTTGCAACGAATCTACTTTTCGAGACTTACTTTTAGTTGTAGATAGATATCTAAAATAGTTTGCTCTAGGTACAAGGAACAAGGTATGGGTTTACTGAGACTAAATGCACGTCAATTGCCATGCATAATCTTGAAATAAAAATACATTCTGATGTTACAATAAAGTTCCCAGCCTCTCATCAGTAAAGTAGGTATATAAGTATAATTAATATAATAATATTATTAAATTGATCTGACCCAGAACCTGGGACTCCACCCGCTACTCGCAGCTGTTACAAATCCATCGTCGACAAACAAAGAGATCGCTTGGTAAGCTTTAAGAATATTTACAGTTATCATAAATAAACTTTACTTTGTTCTCAATTTTTGACCTTTATTAGTTTAAAAAGGGGGTTTCCCCTGCATTACCTACTTTGTAATGATTACACAGTAGATTATGTTATTTTATTCTTTTCGACCAAGCTTTATGTGGCGTAAATAAATAAGTTAGAGAAAAAAAGTTTGATAGCAGGACGCATGATTGAAACACATGGCATATAAACAGACACCCGTTGCGTCGTTATCTTTAGCATAATGATAAAAAAATAATCAATATTTTCAAATGTTATTAATAATAACTAACGTTATTCAGTTTTTTTTAGGTAAGCACACGAAAAGAACGACTGAATGAGTGAACTATGCACTGTTCATTTCATTTGTCATTAATGTCATTTGTCAAACTGTCTGTCAGCCTGCAAGTGAGCAGATGATTTTCGTGTTTTTATCAGTTTTTATCGCATTAATATCATTTTGAGTGTATTATTAGGCGTTAGTGGGCGTAGGAGTGCTCGTGTGTTTTGTGTGAAGCTCGTGAACTTTTCGTAGCGCACTGGTTCGTAAAAAATCGATACTTTTTGCAAAAATATCACTGGTGCAGATTTGTCCAGTGATTTTCCTGTTTAGCTAATTTACTGGTAAGCTTTATATTATTATTTGTCCATATTTAGCCTATTAAATATAATTACATATTTTACTATTTAAAGGAACAATTTTATATAAATAATTTTCAAAAAAACCGTGGTGTATAACTAGTTTTCATAAATTGTTTAGGCGTAATCTGCAATAACTGGTGCGAGATTTGATCGTTTCGTAATATTATTATTATAACATGGTTTACAGAATAATGCAGCAGTCTACTTGTGAAAAAATATTAATATTTATTTGTGATTGGTGTTATTTTTCCATAAATATGGAGCTACTCGCAATTTTAAAGTTGCTGCCTTTTTATTTTTATAAAATTGTAAGTGGATCGGAGTTTATACAGTCAGAAAATTAAATAATATTAATTTTAATTGCATTCATGTATTCAGATATAGCAACAGTCAACAGTCATTATTTTGCTCACTAAGAAATCTAAGCCTAGAATAAAATTAATTATTTTCTCACAGTCACATTACGTATTATTAACATTACATTACAATCATTGTATTCCTTTAGGACTTTACAATTTGAAATTAAACATGTATTATAACAGAGAGAAGTAGGCAAAATGAACGTAATCTTGGGTTTTTAGACATAACAGTATTTTAATGAGGGTTTTCGCGAATGAAAAACCCGCCAGATGGCAATACGTAGACAAGAGGTCCAAATGCTGCATGATTGGTTATTTTTGACATGACATTGACAGATATGTCAAAATCCACTAATCACGCAGCAGTAAGACCCCACATCCACGTCCCGCCATCTAGCGAATCTTTTATTCGCGAAAACCCTCATTAGTAAAGAAATAGTAGTTTTCCTCCTGCAAAATTTATAGACCTACTTTTAGCAGTAGCTATATAGCTAACAGAATCATTGCGTAAACAAACTTAGGTTTGTGAGCATAAGATAAATGTACCAGAGAGATGTAGACGAACTTGATAAGATTGCAGCGTTTACTCAGGCTGTAGGCTCGTAAACAGTGACCAGGTTTTGCAAATACAACGAGAAATTTTTGTAAATGTGAACCTTTGTTGAAATCGAACAGCTCTGCTACAACTACCTATAACTCAATAAACGGTATCTTAATGCACCAATAACTTAATATTTAACTGTTATGTTATGTTAATACTGCCTGTCCCAATTTGAATGTATTTTTTGTAGTTACTATTTGAAATAATAGTTAAACAATCCACTAGTTCCAGCTTTATCGTTCATTATTTATCAATGACCCTTTATTTAAAAGTATTTCAATAGAGTATAGTTTTCTATGGCGAATACTATCAGCCCAGTTCCTGTTTGAGTCCAGATATTATTATGTTCATTATGAATATCATAAAAATTTGTATCAACATAGTATCAGCAAATAAAACTTTCATTAATTAAGCACATGTACCTAATGAAGCATCAGCAGATAATATGTTTTTTTTAACATGCAGTAGGTATATTTGCATAATTTGATAGCCCAGGTTTCTTGCAGTATTATCTAGTTTGTGATAAATTGGACATAAAAAGATTATTGTGAAGAATTATTAAATGCATGAAATATTTGTAGTCAAGATTACAATTTGGCACTCTACACTCCTCAAAAGAAAGAAAATATTCAAAGAAAAAACACTACAGTTGTGATTCTAAAATAATACCTATCTTGTAAGAAAAAAATATTACACACTCCACTACAGTTGTCTCTCCAACAATTTCCTAAAGTAGGCTACATATAGTTTTGAATTTAGCAGTAATTAAGGTTGTCCACGGAAGACCAGCTTCATGACTTGCCCTTTTGAGCATGTCATGATAAATGCTGAGTGGGTGCCTATTGGCACAGTTTTTTCTCACCTTTACCTCTTTGTTTTTGTTAGGGATATATTAAGTCCGCTACAGAGCAATAAACACAGTGGTTGGTAGTAACATAATAAATATATTGGTATCAAAGCACACGTAGAATATTTACAATAGAGAGTTCGGCACAGCCATTACACAGCTAAAGACAACATCACATTTGAATATAAATGACAGTTCTATCATAGCGGTTCCAGCTAGCCAGCTCTACGTTATACAGCATGAAGGTGCTCATCAACAGTTTTAATAGCCTACATACATATTGTGTTTTTTGTTGTTTTTTTCTTCTATATTGTGTCTTTTTTATGGTGTTAATAAACCTATTCTATTCCTTTTTAATATTTGTAGATGACAGTGATGATTAAACGATGGTACCGTTCACGGAGAAACCAAGTCGTGATGTTCATCATACTCATGGGTTGTTTGATTTACTACGTAATGATCAGCAACAGTCTGCCTCAGGAACCAAACCTTGATCTCACAAGAAGGTAAGTTAAGCAGATTTTGATTATGTTTTTGTGCCTTTTATGTTGTTTTTACTCTCTATATTTTAAAAACTTCTTTGGCTAAATTCCAAAAGCGTTTGTTTAAAGCAGGGGTTCCCAAACTTATTTGATACGCGCCCCCTTTCAAAATACAGCAATCCGCGCCTAGGGTTGCCAGGTCCAAAAACACAAAAACCGGACTCTGTGCATCATTTGACCGGACATTTGGTGTAGTGGTTCAGAACGGACTACTATGCCGAGAGGTCCCGGGTTCGATTCCCGGCCGGGCAGAAATTCAAATGATGAATTTTAATTAATGTGACGGGTCTGGGTGTGACTATGTATAATATTTATGTATTTAAAAAAAAAAAGTATATAAGTAGTATATCCGTTAAGCTAGCACCCATAACACAAGCATTAAGTTGCTTACTTTGGGGCTAGCTGGCGCTGTGTGAAATTGTCCAAAGATTGTCCAAAGATTTATTTACCCAAAAAGCCGGACATGTCACGGGGGCCCCCTGTGCAATTAGTGAGTACTATCTACCTACTATCATCGGTTATCAACTATATCATATCTACTATCATCGGTTGCCTAACATCCTGATGCGTGAGTTTGATATTATTCTGTAGCTCGACTTTCGCCTGGCGCGGCAGCCACATAAAAGCCTAACAAAAGCCGGACAAGCCAATATTTGGCCGGACAAAACCGTGAAAAGCCAAACATGTCCGGCTAAGCTGGACACCTGGCAACCCTATCCGCGCCCCCATCCTCCAGTTCAGATTATTTATTGGTCGTATCGAGCAGTCTGGAATGCATTTTCTCAGCGGTCGCGGGTTTTATAATACTTAACTACACAGATGGCCTGCGGCCCCCTTTGAAGGTCTTTGCGCCTCCCCTGGGGCCTTCCCTTTGGGAACCCCTGTTAAAGCCTACAAGCTTAAAGGGATCCCTTCCATTCGCATGTTTTTACTACTACTATAATGTGGCATAAAGACTGGCATTTTTTTTCGCATAATATTAAATTAACTGATATCTATCTATCTAACTAACTCTGTTGATATAGTGACAAATAGGCTAAGGTGTCTTGGGCCATCCCTAAGCGGTGGTATATTATTTTTTTAAATACAAAATATTATGCGTAATTAAATTATGCCAAGATATTATGGCTAAAAATTGTATGCAAATGGTTAAGGAATCAAGTTTAAAATGCTGACTGTTATCAAAAAGAAATAATAAGGTTATCAATAAGAGACAAACATCCTGCACGTGTGTCGTTCAGAATGTCAAGCAAAGACGGGCGAATCGCCGCTAGTCATTTTGGGGGCGTCCATTAATTACTATGTTAGATGTTTAGGGGGGAGAGGGGTTTAAGAAAAACCTTACTAAATCTCATGTAGGGGAGTAGGGGGGGTCTCGATAAATATCACGTAATTTTTTTCTGTAAATAACAGGGTAAAATTGCGAGAAAAATTGGAAAAATCTCACCAAGGGAGCGGGAATGTTAAAAAATTGCAAAAATTGTCTTAACGTAATTAATGGACGTCCCCGTTTCTTCTTTCTTGCGTATTTTCGTAACACTGCGGGACATTTGTCCTAGTGAATACAAGGCTTTAGTGTAAAGGAGGATGCTGACTTGAGCTTTATTCCTGCTGTATCAAAATCTGTGACTGTACAGACAGCATGTTTATTTTTTTAGTATATTTTGAAGCGTTTGTGAATGCTCGCATGTCTATGAAAATGCCGCATGAGAGCGAATAGTACAGTATAGTACAAATCGCCTTTAAGTTTGCTTTCATAATTTTATTCAATCGTTTTTATACACTATTCGTTAATTAATGGCGATCAAAACAAACTATTTTGCTTTCACATAAATGTTCATTTGGTCGGTACCTAATTCGCAACGAAATTAATTCAATTTAAAGTCAATTGAATTGGTGTAGGCATCCATTTAATAATTGGCCTTGCTGCCATAACGCCGTTAACTTCATGGCTATTTTAATTATGATAAAGTGTGTTCGTGATATTCATATCATTTCTGACGCACATTCGTTACAACATACGTGGTGGTAGGAGGCTCTTAGGCACTCCTTAGATGGCTGAATGGCTCGCATCTATTTAGTTTTAAAAATCAAAATCAATATAAATCAAAAATATTTATTCAGTTTAGACCGCAAGTGGCTCTTATGAACGTCAAAATATAGTAAATAATAAAAAAAGAAAAGGTAGCCCTTATGGGGCACTTTACATGTCTCCTTATCTTTTGGGCCCTACCAGCGCTTCGAGACAAACATATGGCAAGTGCTGAAAAGAAACGCCGGAACAAACTCAGTCACCACTAATTGCCAGTAAACAGTTGGCCCACTCTATTATTACAGTATTACAATATCCTCCCTTGTCGACAGCCCTAATAAAGTGGCGCCAAACTGGTGATTGCATATGGTTCAGCGGTCACAGTCGGCGCCACTGTCTTAGTGACAGTGAAATGACACTTCCATACTAAAGCTCAATTTAAACAAGTGTTCAACGCGCGTTTAACTTTTTGTAATAAGGCCCATAATGTTTAAAAATACGTAATTTTAAGAACAACTTCGTCAAACTTAACACTGATGAAATTCTTTCATAATCATAATATCAACGTGTTTGCATACATTTCAAGGTTCGTATAATAACAATGGGTATCCTTGTTTGCTGTACCAAACAATACGTTTTTGGACAGCATTATAATCATAATGAATTCTAGCAACATTCAAACAGTGCTCTTTTCAACATTTAAAGGTGCATTCACACAACTACGGGGCGTGCACGGGGCGTGACATTTTTGTATGGGAATGTCGCACGCCCCGTTAATAATTTAATCCAGACCACGATTACTACGTCTAAAGCGCATTCGAATCCCTCCAGAGACAAATATTAGCGTAATGATGACTAGCTTAAGAGATCAATTAGTTCAAACGTTAAGTTTGTTTATCCGTTAAATCACCGTACTATCTTATGTTCTTCTGATAAGGCCGATTTTGGAACAAAAATATATAATGTTATTGCTATCGTCTGTGATGATAATGATAATGAAAAATCCGACCGATTACGGCCGATTACTGGCGAACAGTTCGACTCCTAAAGTACGGCCAACGAGAAGCGATACAAAAGGTCGATTCGACTTTCGAATTGACAATCTATTCTGTCTCTTCCCATCTTGTGTATTTGTCGTAATGTCTCGTTCTCCCGCCAAAATATGTCAAAGTTAGACGGGTTCGTCAACATTCGGACATCCATTTTAGTATACATAGTTGTTGCAATTCACGAGGGTGAAACTGTTACTTGTCGGTTCTTATTTTATTATCCCAACTAATATTATAAATGCGAAAGTAACTCTGTCTGTCTGTCTGTCTGTCTGTCTGTCTGTCTGTCTGTCTGTTACGCTTTCCCGCTTAAACCTCGCAACCGATTTTGATGAAATTTGGCATAGAGATAGTTTGAGTCCCGGGAAAGAACATAGGATAGTTTTTATCCCGGTTTTTGAAACAGGGACGCGCGCGATAAAGTTTTTCTGTGACAGACAAAATTCCACGCGGGCGAAGCCGCGGGCGGAAAGCTAGTTCCGATATATTTAAGTCTCTATGAAAAAGGGGTAGGCCTGTTGCCATACACCGGGCATATTGTGAGGCAGAAATGTTATTATTATTCTTGTTATTAATTTAAATCTACATTATACAATAATTCAGACATTTTGACAGATATTTTTTAAAACTATATTATTGTCTACAAAAATATGTAATCTAACTATTAAAAAATTATGCACCCCTGCTATTTCAAATGACCATGATATTGGGTTTGTTTACATTTGGTATCGTTTCTCGATGGCCGTACTTTAGCTATCTGTTATCTGTACAAGCTTGGGTAAATTGTTTATTTAATATAAAAATCAAAGTCCGTTAAAATCAGTTAACGGTTACAACGTTCACTCTCAGATAAAATATTCTTTATCTATTATGTTTATAATATGTGATCCGCATACTTTTTTCTGTTAAAGTCCCAAAAGTGGCACACTTTAAATAATCAAACATAACGATAAGAATGCACCGAAGCACCGTTATTATCCGGGGGTTATCTGCTTATCAATTTTGCAAAAAATTCGGTACTTTATGACAAATGATATAATTCATTACAGGATTAGTGTTATCAACATCAAAATAAATAGGTTCTTCATAAAAAGTGACGTCATTTTAAAACTTTTATAAGCTGTAAAAAGGTCTGTTCCTAAAGCTCAATAACTTTTGTATAGGGCCAAAAAGAAAGTACTTCTTAGTCCGATCACACGGATTTTTTTGAGATTTCAGTGCTGGTCCCACACAAACAGCTTGAGAACTAAAATTAATACCAATGACTCTTTAACACAGGAGTTTTTACGTCTACCTTTAAAATGCGATTCGATGTTCTGTTACAAGTAAATGCTATAATGTGTTGGCACCTTTGCGTACACTCGTACGCGCTTTTTGAAACCTATTTGCAGAAGATGTATTTTGTTTGCGAATGTATTTATGTTTGCATGATCATGCAATATTTGATTTTGCATGAACGCATGGCTTTCATGCATGGACATGCCAAGAACTCTTAAATAACAAGGACTTGTGCTACATCTTTCACTCGCACCTTTTGTTTTTAGTACCGTAGAGAAGTTTCATGGTAGAATAGTTGCCGACTACAATGGCACTGTGGTTTTGGCTGGCCTAAAAAGGTAATGCATTATTAATAACTTTAAGGCCCAGAACAGACGGTGAAACGCAACTGCAACGAAACTGCAACTTCTAGTTACTTTTGAGTTGCATCTAAGTTTCTGCCATAGCGTCCGTTGAGAGACCACACATGACGCGACCAGTTTGAATCTTTCAAACTTAGATGCAACTCAAAAGTAACTAGAAGTTGCAGTTTCGTTGCAGTTGCGTTTCACCGTCTGTTCGAGCCTAAGATACATTTAGTCTAACGCAACCATTATTTTACAAAACATTATTATATAAGTCGAACCTTAACTTCCAACTCCTCCTATGGTCTTCTGATTAAATTCGTTGCGAGTCCAATGACAGTTTAACTTTCCCCCGGGACAAACTTGACCTTCACTGGTTGGGTTATTGGCGGTCAAGCTGTAGATCCTGGCTATACAGGAGTTGCAGCGGTGCTGGGAACTAGAGGTGGGAATAGTCCCGATATTAATTAACAAAGTCATTTGTAGCATCTGTCTGTTTTTTATACGCGATAAGCTCAAAAATTATTGAAATGATTTTCATACGGTTTTCACTAATAGACAAAACGTAGAGAACACAGTGGTTCGATTTATTTGTCCCAAAATGTATATGGAACAAAAGCCATTTATTTATATACCATAGATGATTCTAGCTAGTAACAAGCAAATTAATTAATTAAAATGCAGACTATGCTCACGATCGATATTTGTTTATTGTTTACCGTCAGGCGATCGCGTGGTTTATATTTTATTATATCGGTATTTTTTCCTGTTTTTACTTTTTATCAAGAGTTTTAATATTAACTTAAGTTTGAGTTAGACATTTCAATTTGGTATTTAACTCCATTCAAAGTAATTCTAAAGCACAACTTCTTTAAAACACTTAATTCTGGTCTTAATTAATTTTAAATTAACTTTAAATGAAGATGGTGGCTTTGTAATTGATTAAAGTTAGCCAATTGAGTTGGTAAAATAGTGACGTCATCGGCGTGTATTGCCCGACAAAATCTATGGGAAAGTCTCTTTTTGACAGTTCTTAAAAAGTTCGTCAAATACCCTACTAAAAAAATGACTTATTATCGTAGGCGACTATTCGTCCATAAGCCATTTTAGTTCGTCGGTTGAAAAAATCGAGCTATGAACTCCGACTCTAGTACGTTTTGTTGAACAAAGCGTCACAGTCTACACGCAAATTAAATTAGTCACAGAGTCGGAGTGTGTCAGAATCACAATCACCTTGAGACTAACCTACTAACACTTAACGTGTTTACTTTTTTGGTTGGAAGTTGATAATACTAATGAATTGTAGGCTATTTAACATTTATCCTCTTTCTTTACTCTGTGGCGCTTTTTCTTTATATGCCGTCATACTTTTTTCCAAGTTTCATAATAATATCAAGCTTATTATTAAATTCTACCATATTAAATAGTAGTGTACCCAGTATTGATCCTTGTAGCACTCCTTTGCTATATCTGTCGCTAAATCCTTGTAGGCTTTTAACCTTGATGTAATGGTCAATATAACACCACATTTTGAATACCAAAAGATTTCTTAATTAATTATTGTGTTAGTTTATTGCAGTTTCAAGGTCTTATGCTGCATTAGTATTGTCATACGCAGCTGTAAATGCAGAAGTTTATTGTTGTTGATACTTTATGATTTCATATAGCGCGTTAGTTTATTAAACATTTCTAATGTATCAAGAAATGGAGTTAGATAATTCTTATTTCAGTCTCCGTTAAGAGTATTATAACAAACCATGTTTTCTAAACTTTTCAGGGATTAACTTAGTCTTAGCTAAATAGTTAGGTAATTATGTATTATTGACCAGCAAATATGTAGTAGACTACCTAAGTATATAGGGATTGCATTGGTGGGAATATAGATCATAAAATATTTTATTCCGATTTATACTTAAAAAGCAGTCATACAGGTCTCGTACTTCAGGAGACAGTAACATAGGTCAAGATGAATAATTGAAAGGAATTTAAACACTATTTATTCTCAGAATGACTGAAGAAGAAAAAAGAGTGGCTGCAGGGAAAGATATCTTAAAATCATGCTAAAGATTCTGCATTACAAATGAGGAAAGCCCTATAACGTTGTATTTTGCTCTGATAAGAGTTTTTATAGCCTTTTAGCAGTTGTAACGCGTTATCATAACGTAAACCAACAGGAATACGGTTATAGTACCCACTGATTGCGTGTTGTAGGTTATTATTTTATAACCATTTAAACACTAGGGAATGTTTTATAAAAATTGCGTAGAGTCAACTGTATTTTGCGCGTTAATAAGTGCTCTGAAAGCCTAAAGCTTCTAGAAATCTGTGATAGAAAATTTTCTTCTTTTTTTTGCAACCTTTTTCGAACTACATTTTTTAAATAATTTTGCATAAAAATAAGTTTTAATGTTTCTAAAATAAACATGGAGTTATGTTATAATTATAGTCATTTAATATAGATGATTAAAAAAATGATTCAACTTCACAACGTATTTGATTTTACAGATAGCCTATCCTTCGGTTTTAATGCATTTTTTTAAACCCTATAGTTCATTTAACGGTTGATAAAGTTTATAGTAGTGAGATTTAATGAACTAAGAGCCCATAACAATCTTAATGATTCTTCTTAATTATATACTTTATTGCTAATTTTATCGCCGAGAAAAAATTACACTTAAAAGCTTTATGATTCCATTTTTAGGGTTTCTATACATATTATGAAATGGAAAAAATAACCCATAAATAGCCCTTCTTGTTCGATTATCTATCTACTCTATGGTATTGTATGTCTAGCAAGACTTTTTCAAGGACCGCTTGCTTGACAACTCTATATATTTTTCAGATCGTAAAATAAAATTACTTTTTGCCATTAAAATTTGATTTACATTAGTAGTAGTAGTAGTGTAATTAGAAAGTAGTTGCGGTGGTAGTAGTTAGATAGTTTTATTATTAATAATTATCTCTTATGTTAATTAAGTACCATTATTATCTATCTAAATCTATAGTATGTATGTACGCATAAAATTATTTAGCTGGCTACCCAGTTAAAAATCTGTATTTAGGGTATTCTATATTTTTGGCCATTAATTTTTAATTTTTCTTGCATATTTTTTTCTGATTGTTTTTTTGTGTTGATTGATTTAAGCATGTTGAATGAAATTAAAGTATTTTTTGCTTTTTTTATTGCAGAAGTTCTATTGTTGAGTAAGTAGTCTTGATACTTTATTAGTTTTTAGGGTCGATTCCATATTCCGTAAAGTCTCAGTTCTGGTCTCTGGCACAATGCGAAATATTTTTTAATTCCTTTATACATTCCATTCACACCAGTGTCAGTGACGACACAATGCTCTCAGTGTCACTTCTGACATCGGCAATCACGGACGTATCACTGAAGCTCCGTGAACTGAGTGTCAGTAGTACGCAAATGCGAATCACTGATGCAACACTAAAGCACTGATACGGAATTTAGCGAAAATTTAACATTCCTCCGGAAGAAACTTGACCTTCACTGGTTGGGTTATTAGCGATCAAGCTGTAGATCCTGGCTACACAGGAGTTCCAGCGGTGGGAACGAGAGGTGGGAATGGTCCCATTTGAACTGATCGAACATGTTGGACGGAACTGTGGCTTCTCTGATATGTGTGAATCGACCATTTTGATTGTTAATCGCTTATATATTTACCTAGCTATAATTTTTGAAACGCATGTTAAAAACACTACTTTTTATTTAAACTATTTTTTTTATTAAAAAAGGTTTAAATTATTATTTTTTTGGTGGCAGGTTCATAGAAAAGAAACTACAAGAGGCATTAAAGTACGATAAAGGTACGGGCTGTGAGATACCAGTTCTAGACCCTTTCAACAAGGAGGTGACCCAGTTCCTTAAGGAACCAAAGAAGGTGACATGCAAAGGCCAAGATTGGGTGAAATGCTATGTAAGTCTGATAAAAAATGCTTCGTTCGTTCGTTTCAGCCAAATGACGTCCGCTGCTGGACAAAGGCCTCCTCCAAGGTTTTCCACAATGAATGGTCCTGCGCTGCCCGCATCCGGGCTCTTCCCGCGACCTTCACCAGATCGTCGGTCCGCCTAGTAGGAGGCCTGCCCAAGCTACGTCTTCCAGCCCAAAAAATGATTATCATTTTATACTAACAGTTGGCACCACTGGTGTGCCACAGTGGCGCCCTCCTACCGCTTCAGCGCTCATCAGTTGGCGTCACTGTCTAACATTACTATGAGGTCTCCCAGTGCGCGCGGACGCACAGGGTGACACACGAACCAATCACAGAGCTCTATTCAACGCTGTGCGTTCGATTTGGTGCTTCACAGAGATAGTTTGAGTCCCGGGAAAGGATATAGGATAGTTTTTATCCCGGTTTTTGAAACAGGGACGCGCGCGATAAAGTTTTACTGTGACAGACAAAATTCCACGCGGTCGAAGCCGCGGGCCGAAAGCTAGTTCTAAAAAAAGATTCCAATGACTTATCTAAGGGTATGAGTAATCAAGTCATAATTAATTATCTACCTGTCACGATTAAATTATTTAATACGAAACGATTAATCTTCAAATTCCAAAGATTATCTACATATTTTGCGGTTTCATCGTGAAAACGCAACTGATAGTATGTACTTTCCCTAAATAACTAATTCCTTATCTGTGATAATATCTGTCTTTACCTTTCTATGGCCTAATGCTTTTCTATAGGTTATGTTGTTGGTCAAAATATCTGCGGTTACGATGTTTATACATTTTTATAATGTTTATATTAAGACTATTCAAACAATATTGCATGAAACGCATTGAAAATTGTGGATATTCCATCTAAAACTGAATTAAAATTGACAGTTTTTTTTCATTTATTTTAACAAAGAACTAAGAGACGGTTACATTAGGATTCTCAGTGATTTCTTTCACGAACTCAGGTGGCATGCTATTTATAATCCAGGGCAGTAGGTATGTAGTTGAAATCCGGATTTGGACAAGGATTGAATATGGGAAACGGGCGTTAAAACGGCTTGAACCCAGAGCACATCAAATTAAAAAATCGTATTTTTTTTTCAGTTCTCAGAATGCAGGGTAGTGCAAGAAATCTTGGACACGACGCGAGATATAGTGTGCACGTACAGGGACATAATATATGAGAGCGATCAGAAGTACTACTTGGGTTCTCCAGTCGACGTGTATATGACCGATCCATACACCCTGACCAAGAGTGACCATGTCAAGATCAAGTGTGTGGGTACACATTTGAACTCGTAAGTGTATTTTGTATATTCCTTCCAACTAAAAGATGTCCATTGCTGGTCAATTTTTGTCCAAAAGTATTTCATCCCACTTATTTACCCCCAGATTGTGAGAAAAATCCCAACCCATTAATTTTTTCCCCCTTTGTGGGGAAAACCGCTGAGTTGGTAAAACTGGAACAAAAAATTGCTCTAAGGATTTCCACAAGGTCCGGTTCTACGCTTCCCCATCCAGGCGCTTCCCGCGACCTTCAATCAGGTCGTCGGTCCACCGAGTGAGAGACCTACGTACAATAAAGATTGAAAAAGACAAAATACATTAAATTGGAACATTGATAACGATAAAAGAATCGTGGATTCCGTGAATTACTATCATATTTATCTTATCTACTGATAAAAAGGACACAGTAGCTCATCGGTCTCCGTAAGTTCGATAAACTGACAGTCGCATGAAAGTATTCACACTACATATACCGTTTTTACACCTTTTTTGCATGTTGATCCTATTTTGAAAAACATGAGGTCGGTCACTACCAGTGAAATTAGTATGAGTTGTCAAAACGGTGTTTCGCCATAGAGTTTGTTCTCTGTCAACTGACTAAATGAATATTGATTTGAAATCAAATACAGAAACAAGACGAAAATGTTAGCTAGTTACACGACATAGGGCACTTCAATAGTTACTAGCTTCTGTTTGTATCTTCGTTCTCTTAAGTTTCAACTATAATATTTGACAAATAAAAAGAGACAGAGAGAAAACACAAAACAGAAAATGATAGTTCAAAAGAACACCGCTCTTTTTACGTGACGCCAAGTATATTCAGGGTGGAATTTTTGTAATGCCACCTGGAGGGGAAGTACTCTTAATACTGCAGATAGAAAAAAAAATTAAACAAAATTCCACCCTATATAATTTCGATGTATGAGCTACAACATTGTCAAGTTTCATCGAAATCCGTCCAATGAAATTACCTATTCCCTGAAAGAGCACCATACAAATGTATGGTGGTCCATATAAATGGATAAATATCCATCCTTACAAACTTTCTCGATGTACTCACAATACTTTTTTCTACCAGAAAGTCCTGTTAGAAATATACACTCAACATCAAATAAACCGCACCTGCCGCGACGCGAACTTTAAAGATTTTCTTCTGACACAATCATGGTACCCCAACAATATTGGTGTTAAGTAAGCCCAATAAATCTCCTTAAAGAAAAATACAATTCATTTCTAAATAAATGATTAACATTTACCATAAATGTAACTTGAAAATAGACCCCACTTTAGGCTCACCTCTGGGATCAATTAGACCAATTTTAATGGTTATAAAACCAAATAAAGATCTCACGTGTCCTCTTTAACAGATGGATAGCGATGAATCCCAACTTAACAGTTTTATAGTCATAAAAAATGGCTATAGCGTAACTACCTATTTTTTGAAGAAGGGACTCTGGATCCTTGTAAAGACACATTTTTGGGGTAAAAACCTTTCCTTTAATGAAATGAAGTTTAGAACTAGGCTTTCAAATGGTACCAATGTTGGTGGGAAGTGGGGATGCATACGTTTGATAAGTGCTTGTCGCGGGAGGTGCGATTTATTTGATGCCGAGTGTAGTTGATTTTTTTTTCTCAGAATACTACCCTCAAAATGGAACGGAGTCGCAGTGGGTTACAGAAAAGACCTCCCATCTATCCCGCCTCCAAAGAATCCAGATCCCATAAGTGTGCTGATCTTCGGCTACGATTCGTTGTCGAAGAACGGGTTCATTCGTCGAATGCCGAAGACACACAAGTATATCGTGGAGCAGATGGAGGCTACGATATTGCACGGGTAAGTCATAATTTTCTTCAATGTTATCCGGCTCGAAGGACCATTAATCTAGAAAGGATATTTTTGTATTATTATTCCCTTTTGTTCTCTAAACTTTGAATTTTTGACGAATTTCAATATCTCATTACTACATGTGATATATCATTGGGAAAAAGAGAAGCTATAGATGTTTTTAAGATCATTGGCAATCCATTATTACCACTATTTTATATAAATCGAATTCTAAGTTGAATTTTTATCGTGACTTGTTAAACTTTGGCGGCTCGTAACTAGCTATCTAAACATTATCTGGATCTGAAATTTATTTCATTAGACTAAAGACATTAATCGATATTAATACTAAATAAAAAAATCGGTGGAAATAATGCAAGAAAAAAAAGTTTAGCAATTTTTAGATCAAATTTCGGAAACAAATAAATAAAAACAAAAATATCAGTTACAGGAAAAAGGTACTATATTAGTACTAGCGGCTGCCCGCGACTTCGTACGCGTGGACCTCGTTTTACCCCCGTTAGATATCATGTTGATAGATGGCGTTTCACGGCTTCCCCCGCATGAATATTTACGAACGTCAAAAACAGTAGTTTGTCCAGCGCTGTAGATTTTAACCAATGACGATAGATGGCGCTTTTTAGACACGTCTTTTTTATTTATTGAAGTTTATTTGTCACATATCGTCATATGTGCGATGTGGAAGTCATTGGGGGAGGTTACCTATGTTCAGCAGTGGACGTCCTGTGGCTGAAATGATATCGTCATAAATTATAGCCTATATGAATATGTTATTCTGGGTTATAAACAATAATACTGTAAAGTTTTAACAAAATCCGTTCAGTGGTTTTTGCGTGAAAGAGTAACAACAAACATCCAGACAGCCAAACTTTTGCCTTATAATATTAGTAGAATAGATACATCAATTCCTTATCACAAAGATTACGACACAATTCAATTTAACCAGTTAATCTTGTCAAACTGATATGACTTGTATCTATTCTTTAATATCAATCAAGTACTAAATCCGTTAATTTACTGTTATCAGAAGTATTACCACAGGAAATTATTATTTGGTGAATCATAATAATCGTAATTTTATACGCAAATATTCGAGTATTTGTATACAAATGTATTAAACATGAGAGGATAATGTAGGTTACAAGTTGGTAAAAACTTTGTTATGGGATTTACCGACGGTCAACATGGGTAACTTTAAATTTTAGGGTAATTAACGAATCCGTCAATATACAGATCTAGAGAAAAATAAAATTTATAAAATCAGATATGTATGAAAAGTAAAATAATAAAATGATGATATCAGTTTTCTGACTTCACCATACCATTTATATGCATATTATGTTAACATGGGCTAGTGTCGGCTCATATACCCATTTACCTAACACGCTGTATGACATCGCTGCTGTCATCATTGCTGTCGCGAGCAATGTGTTCTGTTTTTGGGCATATTGCTGCGACACCGGCCCCGCCCCCTTGTCACATCTCCCTTTAGTGTCTGTGATCTGTGGTTATAATGCTTAAAAATATCACACTAAGGCCCGCCAAACACGGACAGCTCGAGCAGTTAGTCAGTGATCAACATACACGGACCACTCTTATAGTCAAGAGTCAACAGCTTGAAGCTGCCAGTGGTAACTGCTCGAGCAGTTGGTATGAACTGCTCAACAAATCACAAGCGCGCGCGCCGTGGAATGAAGAAAGTGGGCGGAGGTAACTGCGCGAGAGCTGTCGACAGCTCGAGCAGTCAGTGTGTGGCTGGCGACTGCTTGACCGCACGATGAAAATTCACCGTAATTGCTGTCGACCGCCCGAATCAGTTGCAACTGCTCGAGCGGTTCGTGTATGTGCGTCCATAGAACTCTGCAGTTCACTGTGAAAGAAGAAAGAAAGAAAGAAAATAACTTTATTTTGGCAACAACAAATTCAGGCAACATAGACATACGCAAAAAAATAATAACTAAGTTGCCAAAAAAGGTCACCCACTCAGTAATATCTTGACAGTGTGACTGCCAAGACACTGATTTTCAGTGGGTGCCTTTTGCAGCGCTATACAAAAAAAAAAAAAGAAATTAGAAGAAAAAAAAAAATAATAAAAACCATAAATTAATCATTCAAAAAATTAAAATTAAATAATAACAAAATACATCATTCATTAAATTAAAACATAACAATATTATTAATAATACATACATACACATGTCAAAAACAAAAACCAATGCTACAGACAGAGAGAAAAAAAAAATACAACTAAAAAAAAAAATGACACTTGTCAAGTTAACATTTGCCAGTTTTGCCACGTCCACCAGCCACGTATAGTTGACCCACGCTGAACTGTCCCACCAAACTCAATGACAGGGGGACTGTGCAGTCGCAGCTTGAAGCTGTCGACCCTGACTGCTTCAAGCGGTCCGTGTATTGCCGACCTAACAAGCGTTTACCTTCACCAGCTATAACATCGTAGGAGACGGTACCCCGGCGGCACTTTTCCCAATCCTTAGTGGTTATACGGAGCTGGAGATGCCAGATGTAAGGAAGAAGGTGAAGAACAACAACCATACCTTGGACATCAAAAAGTTTATCTTCCACAGAGTGAAGCAGCATGGGTGAGAAGTATTTTCTATTTATTTCATCATCATCAGTTCATTAAATAAATAAACAATCTGGTCAATTTCACAAAGCGCCAGCTAGCCCCAAAGTAAGCAACTTATATGCTTGTGTTATAAGTAAATAAATAAAATATCTTTCAACATTTTATACTGCGCTTCTAGTCCTAAACTAAGCAAAGCTTGTACTATATGGGTACTAGACAACGGATATAAACATACTTAAATACTTTTTTTTTTGTAAATACATATACATATTATACATAGAAAACACCCAGTCCAATACAAACAAATATGTTCATGCACACAAATGTTTGTACTGTGCGGGAATCGAACCCGCTACCTCCGGAATAGTAGTCCGTTTCGAACCATTACACCGAACGGCCGACTATTTTAATTTCTGTGACGGGTCTGGGTATTACTATGTATATTATGTACGAGGTATTTAAAAAGTATATAAGTAGTATATCCGTTAAGCTAGCACCCATAACACAAGCATATAAGTTGCTTACTTTGGGGCTAGATGGCACTGTGTGAAACTGTCCAAAGATATTTATAAAGATTTTTTTTGAGAATTGGCTTTTAAAAGCGCTTACAATAAACTATTTCCTTACACAGTTACCGCACAGCCTACTACGAGGACAGTCCCTGGATCGGCACGTTTCAGTACCGTTTCAATGGCTTCAACACAAGCATATTAATTGCTTACTTTGGGGCTAGATGGCACTGTGTGAAATTGTCCAAAGATTTTTTTTGCAAATAGGCTTTTAAAAGCGTTATTAATAAACTATTTCCTTACACAGTTACCGTACGGCCTACTACGAGGACAGTCCCTGGATCGGCACGTTTCAGTACCGTTTCAACGGCTTCAACGGGCAGCCGGCGGATCATTATCTCCGCGCGTTCTTCCAGGAGGACGCTAAGACGTCATTCCAGACGTACTGTGTGGGGGACACGCCTAGGCATAGAATAATGATGAACATTACTGAACAGGTATTTATGGTCTTTAAAATTAACTTTGTTGTCTTTTCTTTCATTATTTCATTTTCTTTTTGTTATACACTAAGGGCTCTGAAACTAGGATCGATTTGAAAAACTCATTCTGCATTAGAATCTTACATTATTTCTGATGAATATAGGTGGTGCGAAGTTCGCCGGGTTAGTTAGTCTATCTATCTAAAGTATTGGTTCCCAAATCGGGTTTGAGACGCGCCCCCTTTCGACCATACAAAAAATTCCGTGGGGTATCTATGGACAGGTCTTCAAAAATGATATCGAGGTTTCTAAAATACTTTTTTTCTAACCCGAATAGTTTGCGTGACAGATGCTTCCAAAGTGGAAAAAAGTTGGTCCCCCCCCCTCTAACTTCTAAAATAAGAAAATGAAAAATCTAAAAAAACATTATGATGTACATTACTATAAAAATTACCAACGAAAATTGTTTTGAACGAGATCTAGTAAGTAGTTTTTTTTTAATACCTCGTAAATCGTAAACCGCTTATTACCGCGTAATCGTTCATACAAATAACTTAAATTAAAAAAAAATATTAATTTCATAAATCAATGGTACGGAACCCTTTGTGCGTGAGTCCGACACGCACTTGGCCGGTTTTTTTTAACTACCAGCGAGCTCGTAACAGTGCTCGTTTTTTAGTTAAAAGTCTCGAGCTAACAAATACGCGCTGTTGCGAGCTAGATAGTTTTTAATAAGTTTCCAGAAATCGTCAATGTCACAACTCTCCTCTGTTACAATTTACCTCGGTCTCCCGTACTGTATATGCTCAAGAAATAAATAAATTAACCCGTTTTCTTCTAGTTTCTTCACCAACCGGATCCAAAGTTCATATTCACGTTCATTGCTGACGTCACGCATGACAACATCAATATGATATCCTGGGCTGATGACGCGACTGTGGACTTCTTAACCAACTTCAAAAGAATGGGCCGCCATAAGGACACGCTGTTATTGTTCATGGGAGACCATGGGACTAGGTGAGAAAACACTCACTCGCTCACTCATTGGATTCAAGTCACTCAATCATCACACACTCATCACTCGCTCACTAACTCATTCATTTACACATTATTCACTCATCACTCACTGTCAGTCAGTCACTCAATCATCACTCACTTCCTAACCCTGTCACTCACTCACTAATTGTCTCACTCTCTCTCTCTCTCTCTTATTCACTCACTCACTCACTCTACACACGTGTCGCATGACAACATCAACATGATATCCTGGGCTGATGACGCGACTGTGGACTTCTTAACCAACTTCAAAAGAATGGGCCGTCATAAGGACACGCTGCTGTTGTTCATGGGAGACCATGGGACTAGGTGAGATAAAACTCACTCAGTCACTCATTGGCACTCAAGTCACTCATCATTCAAGTTCATCCACTCACTCTTTCTCTCTCTCTCTCACACTAACTCACTCTCTCACTCACTTTATTCTGTATATTCTGGGCTGAAGACGCGACTGTGGACTTCTTAACTAATTTCAAAAGAATGGGTCGCCATAAGGACACGCTGTTATTGTTCATGGGAGACCATGGGACTAGGTGAGAAAACTCACTCACTCACCCACTCACTCACTAACTTATTCACTCAGCACTAACTCACTCACTAATTCACTATGCACACAAATTCGTGACCACAATTTTAGTGGTGCCTTCATTTGTTGCGCCGCTTCTTCTCAGCAATTCCCATGTTTGTCTCGAAGCACTGGTTGGCCACAAAAATGAGACTTGAACAAGACATCTTAAGAGTATAAGAGAGAGACAGACAGAAAGAGGAGAATTTTTAAGTAAATCATTCTATTGGATAGTTTTCTAACAACAAAATAGTTCTTCAATTATATTATCAAAAATATTGGACACGTATATTTTTATTTGTCAATCAAACAAGTAATTATAAACTTATGGTGCATTAAAGTTCCATGTGACGTCACAGAGTGCTACATTTTTAAGCACTCCTTGACGTCACCGGCCTCTTCTTTTGAACTTTGGCGCGCTTTATCTCTTTAAATTTTCATTAGTTTGTAAAAGTGAAAATAACGTGTCTAATATTTTTTTACTATTATCCAAATAAATAATTATTAAACGAATTCCAAAATTCTTTCGCAGATACGCCAACGTCAGAAAGACCCTCCAAGGGCGTCTAGAAGAACGGTTACCAGTTATGGCCATCCTACTCCCCGAGAACTTAGTTAAGAAGCGTCCTTCAGCTTCGAAAGCCTTGGAACACAACGCTGGTGTACTGACGACCCCGCACGACGTGCACGCCATGATCCTGGACGCTTTGGGGCTGAGCGAGCAGACGCGCGACTATAGAGTGGCGGGCGCGGACTTGCCGCGGGCCATGTCGCTGCTGGAGCCGGTGAGAAGATAGGATTTGTTCATGGTTTTTATTATAGGTATCTTACGGAGATCTATGGTTTTACTAACGTTTGACTGTCACAAAAACACCATCCCATACATGCACGAAAACATCACTCACTCACTCATCACTCATTCACTCATCATTCACTCACTCGTCACTTACTCGTCACTTACTCATCACTCACTCACTCCCTCATCTCTCACTCATTACTCATTTATCACTCACTCCATTTTAATTCACTCACTCACTCACTCCCTCTTCACTCATTCACTCACTCTTTACTCACTCACTCACTCACTCTTCACTCACTCACTCTTTACTTACTCACCTCACTCACTCGTCACTATCACTCACTCACTTACTCACTCATCATCCACTCACTTATCACTCCCCACTTGTCATTCACTCTTTCACCATTCACTCACTCATCATTCATTCACTTGTCATTCACTCACTCATCACTCACTCGCCTCACTACAAGTCGTTCATCGCTGAGAACGTAGTTAAGAAGCGGCCTTCAGCTTCGAAAGCCTTGGAACACAACGCTGGTGTACTGACGACCCCGCACGACGTGCACGCCATGATCCTGGACGCTTTGGGGCTGAGCGAGCAGACGCGCGACTATAGAGTGGCGGGCGCGGACTTGCCGCGGGCCATGTCGCTGCTGGAGCCGGTGAGAAGATAGGATTTGTTTCATTATAGGGATCTGAAGCTTCGCTGACTCACTCGTCATTCACTCACTTGTCTTTCACTCACTCGTCATTCACTCACGTGTCATTCACTCAGTCGTCATTAACTCACTCGTCATTCACTCAGTCGACATTCACTCACTCGTCATTCATTCGTCTTGCACTCACTCGTCATTCATTCACTCGTCACTCACTCACTCTTTACTCACTCACTCACTCTTTACTCACTCACTCATCTCTTACTCACTCATCACACACTCACTCACTTCACTCATTCATCACTCACATATTCATCAATCACTCATTCACTCCTCACTCATCACTCATTCACTGACTCACTCACTAATCACTCACTCCCTCATCATTCATTTACTCACTCTTTACTCACTCACTCACTCTTCACTCACTCACTCTTTACTTACTCACCTCACTCACTCGTCACTATCACTCACACACAGCACTCACTCTTTCACTTACTTATCATTCACTCACTCACTCAATCATTACTTAATCACTCACTCACTCACTCACTCACTTCACTCATCACTCACTCACTTCACTCATCACTCACTTATCATTTACACACTTATCACTCCCCCCTCGTCATTCACTCCTTCATCATTCACTCACTCAACATTCACTCACTCAACATTTACTCACTCACTGATCATTCATTCAGTCACTCTTCATTCATTCACTTATCACTGGACGCTTTGGGGCTGAGCGAGCAGACGCGCGACTATAGAGTGGCGGGCGCGGACTTGCCGCGGGCCATGTCGCTGCTGGAGCCGGTAAGAGTTACTATGATTTGTTTAATTATAGGTATCTGAAGTTTCAGTGAAGTTTGACTGTCACAAAAACACCGTCCCATACACGCACGAAAACATCACTCACTTACTCATTCACTCACTCATCACTTACTCTTCACTCACTCATCATTCACTCACTCATTCATCACTCAATCACTCCTCACTCATTCATCAATCACTCCTCACTCACTCACGTAGTCCTCACTCACTCATTAACACTCAGTCACTCATCACTTCACTCACTCATCCACTCATGCACTCATCACTCACTTATTCACCCATTCATCACTTTTTCACTCACTTGCACAGTCATCATTCACTCACTCACTCATCAATCACTCACTCACTCATCACGCACTCATTTATTATGTAGGCCCATTTCAGTCCCAAATATGGCTTACCCTGCCACTACTTCGGGATTAGTTTCACCAAAATCCGTTTAGTAGTTTTTGCGTGAAAAAGTAACAAATATCCATCCATTCCTACAACGTTTACATTTATATCATTAGTAGAATATTAGCAGGAAGGAAGTAGAATCTTATCTTGATTATTGTTAATGTATCATTGAACTGCGAGTGGCCACTCACTCATAATGATGCTTACTCGATTGACTGATAAGGTAGCGGTTTAAGTAGCACTTAAATTAACTGATTAGTTACAATCAAGACCCCCTGTTAGGTGGATTGTCGACTTGAAAAAGATACTTCATTAAAAACGACGGGAGATTGAATAATATTGATAAAAAATAAGGCAATCAATAATATATTACATGAAAATAACTCTAAACACTATAATCTTTTACTAGCGGCCGCCCGCGTCTTCGTACGCGTGGATCCCGTTTTACCCCCTTAGGGGTGGAGTTTCGTAAAATTCTTTCTTAGCGGATCCCTACGTCATAGCATCTACCTGCATGCCAAAGGATGATGGGCACAAATGTATGGAAAGTAGTACCCGCTCCAATAGCCATAACCAATATATATTTCAAAAGGCCTTTAGATGTAGGAAAATATCTGCTATGGGGCCAGTTCTAATTCACGTTTTGAAAGCAGTAATTCCACTAAGTATTATAAGAAAGTATAACACAATCATCCATGTATACGAGTATGTACTATGACTACAATCTATTAATATAACTAAAAGAAGCATTGAAAGGGAAAGGATTATACCTACGACGAACTACCCAAGCTATTAGCCCTTGATTCTCTTTCATCATCATCATCATGATCATTTTAGCCATAGCACATCCAGTTGAACATAGGCCTCCCCCAATGATTTCCACAATGGCCGGTTGGTTGCAGCCTGCATCCAGCGTATTCCCGTTACCTTTATGAGGTCGTCGGTCCTTTAGCAACTGTTTCGTACCGAAATAAATTTATTAGTTTCTTAATTTTAGTTTAAGATAAAACAACACAAACTGGAAGGAATTTGCTCTTTTCTTAATTGCATTTTTTAATCACAAACTGGCAACATTCTTTCCAATCCTATGGAGCGAGGCTCGCGATTGCGATTGCGACGCCCCCCAGTGACGCAAGAGTTTTGAGTTCGGAAGGACGCCCGTGCGCAACAGCGGTGTGTTCTTTAATTCGGCAACCACCTAAGCGTTTGTCAATTTCCAAAATCAAGTGAATCTAATGAGTGCGGGATCCAGCCCCTATGGAACTATGGTCTTTTTCATCAATATGTGCTAATACTTCACAAGCAAACTGCATTTCGGAGATACGCCGGGCCCGGCTGAGCACGCGGCTGGCACTGTGGAAAAGAGGTTTGTTCGCCGTTTGTTTGAAAATTTAGTATAGCTAACAGGCATCACTTGGCATTTTCAACCCCCATACGCTAGTCATTTTGGTGGACTATTCGAAGCGGGTGTTAAAAGCTTTAAGCATCATTTTCATCGTGTGGTCGGCACACGAACTTTGACATATGACGAGATGCATACGCTCTTATGTCAAATAGAGGCGATTCTCAATTCGCGCCCACTTTGTGTTTTAAGTGCAGACTCAAGGGATCCTCTCCCTTTGACTCCATCACATTTTTTAATAGGTGAGCCCTTAACGTCAATTCCTGACATTTCTTTAGTGGATGAGAATCCTAGCCGCTTAGCAAGATGGCGTCTCATCCAACAGTCCACTCAACATTTTTGGAAGAGATGGAGTCTTGAGTATTTACATCATATTCAACAAGCAACCAAGTGGTTTAGTAATCGCGGTGCCCCGATTCGTGAGGGCATGATTGTGGTGTTACGCGAAGACAACGTTCCTCCCTTGCAGTGGAGACTTGCGCGTGTTCACGCCTTACACCCAGGTCCTGACGGGATCTGTCGGGTCGTTACTTTACAAATTGGACAGTCGTTCTTCAAACGAGCTGTTGTTAAGATTTGTCCTCTTCCTGTTGAGTAGGGAGTAGGTACGTTTTGCATCTAAGTAAAGCTAGAGTAGTTTTAGGTTTATAGTTAGGTTTCACTCTACAAATAGCTTAGATACTTGTAAGTTTCTTATCGTAGGTTTTGTCTTGTTAAAAGATACTCGGTACTTTTAAGGTGAGCGGTATGTTTCGTACCGAAATAAATTTATTAGTTTCTTAATTTTAGTTTAAGATAAAACAACACAAACTGGAAGGAATTTGCTCTTTTCTTAATTGCATTTTTTAATCACAAACTGGCAACATTCTTTCCAATCCTATGGAGCGAGGCTCGCGATTGCGATTGCGACGCCCCCCAGTGACGCAAGAGTTTTGAGTTCGGAAGGACGCCCGTGCGCAACAGCGGTGTGTTCTTTAATTCGGCAACCACCTAAGCGTTTGTCAATTTCCAAAATCAAGTGAATCTAATGAGTGCGGGATCCAGCCCCTATGGAACTATGGTCTTTTTCATCAATATGTGCTAATACTTCACAAGCAAACTGCATTTCGGAGATACGCCGGGCCCGGCTGAGCACGCGGCTGGCACTGTGGAAAAGAGGTTTGTTCGCCGTTTGTTTGAAAATTTAGTATAGCTAACAGCAACCCATAATTAAATCCTTAAGAAGTAATAAAATTCTAACCCCTTTATTAATAAAATTAAGTTACACCCTAGTTGAACTCTGGCTTGGTATGGAAATGTCATTTTAATCCTTGGTTCATCCTAGGTATAACTTTTTATTAATAAGGGGTAGTAGTTCTTCAAATAAAAATATTTATTTCACAATTATCCCTATAAATAATTACAGAGTTAAGGAAGGATGCTGGAGCAGTAAACCCTTCATGCCTCGCATAACCTAAGTACCATACGATAGACACGTGTGATACTTCGACTACACAAAAAGTATGTTTATCTTCGAACGCAACCAGATCTGAGGCTGGTGGCCATAGTAAATGTTGTTCGTCTTGGTAAGACCTTTCAAATGACACTACAAACATAACTATTGGAGCCGGGTACCATTCTGCAAAAAAGTATGTTTATCTTCGAACACAACCAGATCTGAGGCTGGTGGTCATAGTAAAAGTTGTTCGTCTTGGTAAGACCTTTCAAATGACACTAGAAGCATATCTATTGGAGCCGGGTACCATTTTGCCCATTGTCCTTTCAGCCCGATTCGTCCAGTGGTTTGGGCTGTGCGTTGATAGATCACTATGTCAGTCAGTCAGTCACCTTTGAGTTATTATAATTAGCTGGGTCAAATTGGTCCCACTATATTTCTAGAAAAGTTTCTTAGCTATCTGTTTATTTTGTATGTGATATTTTTTGTCAAAAATAACGTAAACTCATAACGTGTAACTCAGTCAGCGCCTGGGGTATGGGAGCGTTGGGTGACATTGTCATAATATGACGTGACAGACCATACAAATCTGTGGCCTAATTCACGTATTTTGACAGTCAAGATCTCGCTGACGTTCAGAAGTCGTCCCATTGAAAAACAGTTCTAAATCAGTATTCACAAGGGTCATTTTAATAGAACGATTACTCGATAGGATCGCAACTCAGTTAGTCCAGTCAATGAATGCCTTAACGACGGTGTAGAGAGAAATCCGTGGAACACAATTTCTGACCTCGGAACTTTATTTAGCCTAGTTAGGTGGTGAACATAGCAAAAGTCCCCGCCCTTAGCCCTTGAGCCGGCGGGGAGAGGGGGGTTTAAAGGTACCACTTTTCGGTTTTTCGCTTAATCCTCGGAAACTATGCGTCCTAGTGACATGACTACTATGAACCAAAAAAAGCTTATTCAATTTGCTACAGGTGAGACCGTCAAGTTTTTCTATATCTTGTATAGTTTTTGCGGCATCTGCTCTAGAAGGTCTGTAAAATTGGAAATTTTATTGTTGTCTTACATGTTCCTTTCAGGAGAAAATCGACTAAATCAACATTGAGCAAACACTATAGACATGCGGGAGCATGTTAAGCCTAGTTCCATGGAGGGGACTGCACCGTGCGTATATTTAGACGAACCAATTAGAGCCACCATTGACTCCTCATCATTCAAAAACTACTGTGCATTAACACTTCAAATTTGGCTCATGTATTGAGACTTGCAAGATATACATCAGCTTCAAATTTCATAAATATACCTCAAACGGTTATTTAGGTATTGACGTTCAAAAATCGATATTTAGAGCACTAAAATCTATCTATCACATGTGAAATGTTAAAATTTACTGGTTTTTTATTTGTTCCTTTGTATTTACATAACTACCTTTCTGGATGCCAAATTTGAACCTTCGAGGTCATCTGGAAGTGGTTAGAATTTGGTCTATAGGTCAGACATGTAGATTTTTGGACGTCAATATCTAAAGAACCGTTTGAGGCATATTTATGAAATTTGAAACTGATGTATATCTTGCAAGTCTCAACACATGAGCCAAATTTGAAGTGTTAATGCACAGTAGTTTTTGAGTGATGAGGAGTCAAAAGTGGCTCAAAGTGATTCGTCTAAATATACGCACGGTGTAGTCCCCTCGCTGGAACTAGGCTTAACATGCTCCCGCATGTCTAGAATGATTGCTCAATGTTGATTTAGTCGATTTTCTCCTGATGGGAACATGTAAGACAAAAATAAAATTTCCAATATTACAGACCTTCTAGAGCAGATGCCGCGAAAACTATACAATTTATAGAAAAACTTGTCTATCTCATCTGTAGCAAATTGAATATGCTTTTTTTGGTTCAAAGTAGTCATGTCACTAGGACGCATAGTTTCCGAGGATTAAGCGAAAAACCGAAAAGTGGCAACTTTAAACCCCCCTCTCCCCGCCGGCTCAAGGGCTAAGGGCGGGGACTTTTGCTATGTTCACCTCCTAACTAGTCTAAATAAAGTCCTGAAGTCAGAAATTGTGTTCTACAGTTTTCCATCTATAATGCTTTATTGACTGGACTAAGTGTTTTGTTGTTGAAGTTTTGTTACGTGAATAAGGCTACTGAAGCCCATTTGAAGTTTTGCTAATGTTGGACGTTACAAAAACACCCTCCCGTGCCACTCCCATTCCCCTGACTGACCTATAATTAAACTATCATATCTCTGTTCCAGATACCCAAGAACCGTTCCTGCAGCGAGGCAGGTATTGAACCGCATTGGTGCGCGTGCGTCTCGTGGAAAAACGTGACCGTCGGCGACCCCATGCACGACCGAGTGGCCAACGCGTTGGTCGACTTCATCAACGAACTTACTCTGCCAGTCAGGTAATATAACTTTTTGTTTTTCTTTTTTTTTCTTTTTCTTTTCTTTTTCTTTTTATCAAAATTCCTCTTCTTCTTTTTGTCCTGCCTTACGAAAAAATTCCCACAGCTGCAACTCCTGTGTAGCCAGGATCTACAGCTTGACCGTCACTAAAAACCCAACCAGTGAAGGCCAAGCTTATACCAAGGAAAAGTTGAATTATTATTGGTGTACTTGGATACCTACATATTGTGTTATTTACCATAGTCTGGTCGCCGAGCACGTAGAATTTTGTCCAATGACCCCAAGCTACCCATCCTTATCGCTCGCGCGTAATTATGTTGCTGTCGCGCTCGCACACTCACTGCGGGTGCCAGTCGCACATTCGCGACAGCAATATCATTCGGGTCATTGGACAAAATTCTACGTGCTCAGAAACCGGGCTTTAGCCCTGTTTCACCACTAATTTAGTTTGTTGATTGATTTATCGCTCTTTTTTATATCTATTTTATTTAAATGATTTATTAATTTCAGAGATCAATGTGTTCCTCGAACTTTGACGAGCATATCGTGGGTTATGAAGCAACAACCTAACAAGGGCGTCATGGAGTTTAAAGAGGTAAATTGAAATCAGAAAGCTGAACCTTTTAACTTTGCCATGCCTATACATTTATGAATTGGGATTATTTATTTTGTGAAAAAATATTCATATTTTTCACGACATAATATAGACATAATAACCAGTAAAGTAGAAGACATCCTAACAGGCTTAAATTGCCGGCTATAAAGTCTACTTTTTACAGTAAGAACTGTTTTATAATGGCCATTAAAGTATTTAATAAAATTCCAGACTCTATCACTGACTTGCATGTAAACCAATTTAAAAAATGTTTTTATGAATGGCTAGTTGACAAATGTTTTTATACTGTCAAAGAATTTCTGACTGATTGATTTATGTACCTATAATGACATTGATTTTATTTCTTAATTAATTTATTATTGTTATTAATAGATTCAAATTTTGTGTCATTGTTTGTGGCATGCCTATCCCGGACAAAACATGTTGGACTTGTACCACAGAATAATAATAAGTACTCTTGTACTATTAAGGAAGCAATAAACATATTGAGTATTGACTTGACATTTTCTATCGACCATTTTGTTACCATGTTTCTGAGCAAATAAATGATTTATATATTTATTTTATTTATTATTGATGTTTTTTTACGGCGCCATGAATCATATATTATGTATAATATTATGACTCAAACAATATTTTACTAAAAACCATGGTCATTTTGCTAAAAAATCAAATACGGTGGATTATTTTACTAAAAAAAAAGCAAAAAGAATCATATTCAATAAAAAAGTAAGGATTTGCTAGTTAATAACTAAAGTCAATAATTTTTTTATTTCGTTCCAGTCGAAAGATGCCGATGGCTACGTAGGTGCATTTGGGCCTTCGATAAAACCAATAACGGAGAATTACCAAGTCAAGGTGAGTGCGAAGAGGTTTATACAGGGTGTCCCGTAAATCAACGTCAAGCCGAAACTGGGTGTTGAGGCAAGTTGTGTTGGTTATCTATCTATACTTATAATAAATCTGTAGAGAGGTCAATTCTGTACATGAAATATATTTTCAAAATAACTATCAGGGGGTGATTAGTGATCGATACTGATGCCAAAAATGCAATCAGTAAAATTTTTGTCTCTCTGTCTGTCTGTCTGTCTGTATGTTCCTTATAGAAACAAAAACTACTCGACGGATTTTAACGAAACTTGGTACAATTATTCTTCATACTCCTGGGCAGGTTATAGGATACTTAGGAATTCCCACGGGACCGGGAATTAGCGGGAAAATCTTTTTGTATGAAAAATCTAAACTGCTTAAGTTAGACGCTTGAAATTTGGCATGCAGGTACTTTAGTAAACTTAAAGCTTAGTTACAACAGGATATTGCAAAATTCCCACGGGAACGGGAGTTAGCGGGAAAAAACATTTGTATGAAAAAATCTTAACCGTGTAAGATAGATGAAGGGGGTAAAAAGGGGTCTACGCGTACGAAGTCGCGGGCGGCCGCTAGTCAGAAAAATATAAAAAAAAATCTATGTGACATATTTTAAAAATAATAGGCATTTAAAAAAAATCAAAAACATCTACTCCCGGTGACTCGAAACCGGTATTCATAACGTTATTTTTCAGAACCAAGTTTTCGCTTACGTTATCGTACTTTACCACAATTAACTGGTTTTTTTTGTGTTCAAAAATGAAATGAGTATCGTTTTCGCTTGAAACGAAAATACAAAAACCGTTAAAGAACATAATAATAACGTTATTTTTCAAATCGGTTCCTAGTGTGTGTAACACGTATGTTGTGTAGAAAATGACCTAATATTGATGATTGTTTCTTCGATTACAGATAACAGTGGGCCCTGGAACTGGTGTGTATGAAGCCACGCTGACACATAGAACGGCTGAGGAAAAGTTTACTGTTGACGTTCGAGATATATCCAGAACTAATATGTAAGTATAAAAATATAATTCAGGAATACACTCGAGAATAAAGCCCGTATTCACAAACGATACTTGCTTATGTGAAGCAGCAAATCGAACGCACAGCGTTGAATAGAGCTCTGTGATTAGTTTGCGTGTGTCCCTGTGCGTCCACGCGGACTGTGAGACCTCATACTAATGTTTAATACGAGTATTGACTACAATTAGCAACCAAAAACATAAAGCAACATTCGCAATCAGAATTTCTTATGAAACAATATGACAAATGTATCATAATGTTGGTAATTTTATCCGATAATTATCATGAAACGTAATTATCTTGATAATTTCGAACCCTGATGTTTTATGTTCCTATGGATGGGTACCATGAGATGTATTAAAATTTGTTTTTCTAGTAGTATTTTATTAAAATTAAGTAGTGTGTGGAACAAAACATGTAACATAGCTATAATGCTTATGTGTAGCGAGAAACGTTACTAACAAGTAACAACATATTTCACTGTTATTTTCAGGTATCACCACGAGCCCGACTGCATACATCTCACACATCCGCATCTCAACATGTTCTGTTATTGCAAAAATCAAGTGAAAAGCCATTAACTTTAACCGTGCAATTAATTCAAAGCAAAATGAAGATAATATGTGTTTTAAGTGGATACAATATTGGAGCAATATAGCAGTCTCCAAGCGAAGATATTTGTTGTAAGTATAGTCTGGTCTGTAAGCACGTAGTATTTGGTCCAATGACCCCAAGCTACCCATCCTTATCGCTCGCGCGTAATTATATTGCTGTCGCGACTGTGCGACGCGCGCCCGCAGTGAGTGTGCGAGCGCGACAGCAATATAATTACGCGCGAGCGATAAGGATGGGTAGCTTGGGGTCATTGGACAAAAGTCTACGTGCTCACAGACCGGGCTTTAGATAACAATATTGTTGCCTCCAAAATTTATTATTTTCGACGTGAAATTTTTGAGGATTTCTCAAATAGCGGGGATTTAATCTCGAGAGATCTCTTTTTTGAAGAGATCTACAATTTCCCATTTTAAAGGTGACTTGTAAAAGTAGATTTTATTTGTGTCATCCAATCAGGCACTAAAACGGGACTATTCCCACCTCTCGTTCCCACCGCTGCAACTCCTGTGTAGCCAGGATCTACAGCTTGACCGCCAATAAAAACCCAAACTGAAGGTCATGTTTGAACCAGGCACCAGCATTAAATATTATTGCTTGAATGGTTTCCTACGTCATAAAATTTACCAAAACTATTTGTCAAACGATTAAAATGACGTAAGAAAAACAATTTATAAAGATTTTGAGACGTTATGGTAAGTGGTTTCCACTTAGTGCTAAATTGTATTTTTGAATAAACGTTCATCCCAGTCTTACGTATAGCATTTAAATGTTTCCAAAGTCTTGTATATTGTAAATGAAAGGATTTTATGGAGAAAAAAAATGAGTCACATGTGATTCGTGACGCTAATTTTACTGTGGTCAGCAAAATAGTTAATAGCCATATTATTACTTTATTAAAATTACATCGTCAAAATAAATGATGTAAACACTAAAGTTCAATACTCACTCATCACAAAATTTATTTTTATCTGCCAAATTGTGTTTGTGCTGGTAAAAGTTACACTTTTAATGTAATAATGCAACAACTCAAAATTATAAAAATACTCAAAAAGTGGTAACTAAAATCCTAATTATCTTACAATGGGATTAAGAGGTGATAAGAAAAGGGAGTAAGATTTGATTGACTGAAAAATATTGGAAAGGAAGGGAAGAGAATGACCAAAGAAAATGTTGGTTGAAACTGATGTTTCATTTGCATTATAGATAATAAAGTCTAATATGGTTTTGCAGACAACAAATTGCACGACAGTGCTTAATAGATTATGTTGACTTTTAATAGCAGTTACGACCGGCTTACAACGATCGTGGTTACGATCCCGTTTATTTCGTGGCTTCTTGGTAAAAAGGGCATTTTATATTTTTAATTTATGGTGGATAAGAAATTTCTTCTCTAGTTTTAAAAGTGTTAAGGGCTTTAAAGTCTAGCAACTAACATTCGGTGATAGTCAATTCCAAAACCTCATATTAGATACACTCACAATGTATGGTAAGTTTATTTATTCCAATAGATCTAAAATAATGTTAACGTTACAAATTTTAATTGATATTTTTTGCATTCAAAAACTCGATACCTTAAATAATTTGTATTATATTAGATTAGATTACGTGCTCTTTTAAATTAGAGGTTTTGTGTTTGCAATTACTATTAATTAGTAATTGATTTTTTTTAATTAAAACGCAGTTGTCACAGTATTCAGTGTGCGGTCCAAACGGACGACTAACTTACGGCTCAAAACGTCTTATTTGAAAGAGCCCTATGATCGTTAAAGATATAATATCTTATTTATTTTCGTGTCTATTGTCATAGATTAGTAGTTCATTCATTTTATGTAAGTGAATGTGTATTTTCTGCTTTGCGCTGAGCGCTTCATATAACTTGGCATGATATAAAAAATATATTTTCGGCAAAAAGCTATATTATTTAGTATTAAAGTAGTAGCTACTAATATTGTAATCGATTATACTCATGATTATGTAAAAGTATTTTAGGTTTTGCGTTATTATAATAAAGTTAAAGCATTTATGGAATTCCAGTGAATACATAATATGAAAATTACTTATCCTAGTAAAGTTTTTAATGCAAGCAGTTTTTATCTATAGACGATAAAAAATAAACGTACTTTAAAAAATACGTTGAGCTATCTTTGCTGTATTCAAATGATCAAATTTAGAAATACCCTATAGAAATACCTTAAACCATAGCATTTTTATTGTTATAAGTTATTACATAACTAAAGGTTCTATTATTTAATATTAATTAAATACTATAACTAAATATGTAAATATTTTATTTATAATTCAAATAGGTTAGGTACAATTGTATGTTGTGGAGATAATAATATATATTTTCATATTCCATGATAATTACTTTGTAATTATAATGTGTATTAAGTATTTTTGTTGATATAGGGAATTTATGATCTCTTACGTTTGATAAATGTAAGTAAAACTAATAAAAATAATAGTTCATGGTGCATAGAATCCGGTTCTGTTAATATTATACTCGTATACATAAACAAATACATTTTAATAAATATACTGTACTTAATATGACGCACAAAGAAGTCTTCTATGATACTTAGTAGGTAAATATAAAATATGTATTATTTATACTTTAAAATCGTTAAAGAAGAATTAAATCGACTTTTAGTGGCTGCATAAAATAAATTTAATTTTGTACTTTTTTTAAGTTTGCCTTGATTAATATTACAGAAATATTTTTTTCTAAATTCTTGTAAAGCCTGGTCCGTGAGCACGTAGAATTTTGACCCCAAGCTACCCATCCTTATCGCACGCCCGTAATTATATTGCTGTCGCGCTCGCACACTCACTGCGGGCGCCCGTCGCACAGTCGCGACAGCAATATAATTACGCGCGAGCGATAAGGATGGGTAGCTTGGGGTCATTGGACAAAATTCGACGTGCTCACGGACCAGGCTTTAGTAGCATAAACAAATGAATAAGATAGAATACTTCTTTGTAATATTTACTAAATTGTTTGCCAAATTTTGGTACTTAAAGAGAAAATGTGGGCCGTCTATCAGTCAATTTTAATTTAAACCTTTTATAAGGTAGAGGTAATATTTTTGCCACCATATTTTTTTTACCTCATTCCATTGTCTTAAGGTCCAGATATTATAGAAAATCTAACTTTTCCATCGAAGGATTAGTTATTGTGTAAACAGACAAGTCATTTAAAAGTTGATGTGTAGCATTTAGGTATCAGTTGAGGTTTTATGTTTATTTCATATATTTAAACAGTCATTAGCTATTTTAAAGGTACAACAAATGTGTAAATAAGTTACTCCAAATTCTAGTTAAAATAAATAAATATGTAATAGATGTTATATTTCGTTAAATGACATACTTTTCTCTTTCTGTCGAGTGAAGATAGAAAGAGATGGTAATAATAATAATATGCTTTCTAATAAATATTGAAAACTGATTTGGGTCCACTTGCGACTAAAAAGTTATTTTTAAATTACTTAATACTTATTTGCTATAGTTTTATTTCTTGTACTGTTAAATAAAAAAAGTTGCAAGAGTTTTAATTAGTCCGTCAGTTAACTTATCAAAAAATACTCTACACGTATTTTTCACTTTTTCAAACTAATGAAAATTTAAAGAGAGATAAAGCGCCCCAAAGTTCATAAGAAGAGGCCCGTGACGTCAACGCTTGCTTAAAAATGCCGCACGTTGTGACGTCGTGCGCAACTTCAACGCACCATAACTATGTAATTATTTGTTAGATTGACAAATAAAAATATATGTGTCCAATATTTTTTGATATTAAACATTACGGACAAAAAAAATTTTTTTAGGCAACTAGCCTATTATTGGCTTAAATTGTAGGTGTTGATTTTTTATTTTTATATTGACGAATCTCTTGTGTGCTCGACATTTTATGTTTATTTATTAATTTAAGGACTTTATTTTTAATATGGTCAGTACAGTCGGCGTCAAATAATTCGTGACACCCAAAGTGGCCAAAAAAATTTAACACAACCTTATTCCAATTGTAACAAAGACGTATTGCGAACTTTTTGGCTACTTTGGGTGTCACGAATTATTTAACGCTGACTGTACCTAATAGTACATTTAACTAGCCACAAATAGTTCTATGGACTTTGAACGTGTGTTTGGTTTAAGGTTTAAAGTTGAAATTGCCTATTTGTGGTAGGTTGATAAGCTAGCGAGTGTACTTTTGTTTTTGTGATAAGATACGTTTGAATGAAGCCGAGTTATTTGTCTGTATATGATAAGTTTGGTGCGTGATATTAAAATAAATGATATTGTAAAGAATAATTCTGTTTTTCATTCATACATCTTTAAATCATAATTATTATCTTTAGAGTATTATTATTTGTATAATACGATTATTTGAGAACCCCTGAAACTTATAAATCTGAAATATTTTAGTCTGTCTTTGAGAAATAAGAATTATTTCATAAAAAAAGTCCTTTATTTACAATTTTTGACCTAACTAAAAATAAATGAGAGTTGTAATACAAAAATAATACAATAAAATAATAATAAATAATAATATAGCATCACACCTTACACTATTAATAGGTGGGTTGTGTGACATGAAATATACGAGTAATATAATAAATATGGTACATAAGAATAATTAGATAAAAAATAGATATAGGTCATCATCATCATTTCTAAGATATTATAGTAGTAGTTATTTAAGTATAAACTTGACAGATTGACCTTAAATATGGAAATACTTAACTACATAAGCGTTACATTTGCTAAATACATAATATATGGCCAAAATCCTTGATATTGCTGTATGTCGTCGTTTGAAACACCTTAAAAATAATTTACAATACAAAATTACATAAAACATATCAATTCAACGATCGCTTGTAGTGACAGAAAAATAGCCTCTATCTGCCATGTTCAGTTTTCAAATACAGATCAATTCTTTACAATTATTTATGAGTTGTAGACCCTTTTCAGGGCACTTAGACACGTCCCAATATAGCTTGATCTACCACCACTTCGACAGAACATCTGGCTCGAAGGACCATAAAATGGGAATGCGGGATGCGAAAAACCCGATAGCCGGCTAGTAAAGAGGACTCATCGGATCTTCGACCTACTGTCCCGGCACTCCTAAGTCTTCCTTAGCTGG